ATTATATAGAGAAAATAAGCAACCTCACTTCGGGAGGTCCGGAGCTGATGTGGACGAATCTTGTTACTATAATTGACTACAGACTTAGAAACCTTGAATCACCCGTTAGTAACTACGACTTCCCTTTTATCTGTGAACCATCGCACTACTTTACAGTTAACACACAGTTAGTCTGGTGTTAGAAACTTTATTTTGAAAGTTCTACTGATTGTGTGAATATTATTTCGCTAACCTTCGCAACTCCACGACTGTAGGATGAGGTTCGAATCCCAGCCTAGTAAATTATTATTAACAGGGAAGTGCTAAACCCGTAGGGTTATACAGCGCATGTGGGGGGATGGAAGGTATTCAGGCTCAATTCAGGGAACTGGAGCACAGATCCAATTCCCTAGATCAAGAGCCCCTCACCAGCATCAAGGAACCTCCCTTAAGGGGCCGGCCTAGTTTACCTGGAGAGAGTTCCGGGGGTCAACGCCCCCGCGGCCCGGTCTGTGACCAGGCCTCCTGGTGGATCAGAGCCTGATCAACCAGGCTGTTGCTGCTGGCTGCACGCAAACCAACGTACGAGCCACAGCCCGGCTGGTCAGGAAAACATTTTAAAACATTTTAAGTTATCAAGGACCCTGGTGGAAAAAGTCATGTTGACTTTGTTATCCACGGTTACATCTGTATACTGTGTCGTTAATGTGTTCTCATAAAACTTCAAATCACATTAAAACATTTTGTGTACAAAACCCTAAATAATAACTTTCACGTTTATTATTTGCATGGGGCGGCACAAAACCCATAGGGGTCATACAATACGAGTAATGTACGGCAATCAGGTTTGATTCAAGGAAGTAGAGATTCAATTTTTTGGATAGTCCCCTCAAGGGTAGTTCCTTGAGGCTGGTGAGGGGCTCTTGATCTGTGCTCCAGTTCCCTGAATTAAGCCTGAATACCTTCCATATCCCTCCCCCCCCCCAGGCACTGTATAATCCTACGGGTTTAGCGCTTCCACATGATTATAATAATTGGATCAAGAGTCCCTTACCAGCATCAAGGCACCTCCCTAGAAGTGACACTATTTATAAATTATTAGTAGTATAATCAAAAAGAAGCACTAAACCACAAGGGCTCATGTTTGTAAGACCTAAATTAAGAATTACCTGCTTAAATCTAAAATCTGCTCTTTATATAGTTGAGTAACTTAATTGTTTTAACTTTTAAGGTTTAAATAAGATAGTACAGGGACCCAAATGGAAATAAGTCACTTTTGTCTGACTTTTTTGGATTACCCGACGTAATTTACACATGCTCTGTATAACTTATATAACTATTTGTGTACCTATACCTGAATAAACTTATTGTTTTATACGAACAAATTGTTTGCACCTATATTTTTATTATCAATATTTATCTTAGCAAAAGTAGTGAAGGCTATTATCCATGGCATTAAATAAGTTTTATATTGTAAAATATTTTTCTATTATACTTATGGAAAATTTTATAGGAGTGATTACTTGTACATACCTCAACATTACATGCATACGAGTAATCTCCTTGGGAGACAACAACGATATTGTTTACCGTAGTCACCCATGTAGACATGTGAGAAAACTTAACCACCTCTGGTCACTGCAGGTGGCCCCTCGACCCTCACAATCTTATCCATATCTATCCGAGACCAGTATAAATTGGGTAGCACCCTCAAGTACTAATTAATTGTGGACTGTATAGATTATATTAGTTTAATTGAATGAAGGGGGGGGGGGGTAAGTTACACATGGATATACCCATCAAGGAAAAACACTTGTACATAATCCCACCACTTACCAGATATTCTCTTGGTCACTTGATGTGGCTGGATCACCCATAACCTATCCAATTAAAACATACCTAACTGGCCAGTATCAGTCTGCTATAACTAGAAAGGTTACTTAACTGTGGGTGATTACCTGGAGTTTACCTGGAGAGTTTCGGGGGTCAACGCCCCCGCGGCCCGGTCTGTGACCAGGCCTCCTGGTGGATCAGCGCCTGATCAACCAGGCTGTTGCTGCTGGCTGCACGCAAACCAACGTACGAGCCACAGCCTGGCTGATCAGGAACTGACTTTAGGTGCTCCTTATTTCCTCCATTCACCATCTCTTTTCGATATCCTGCTACACCGACACGGTTCTTATTCCAGCAGGACGAGGTATCCGTTGGTTTGTCCCAGTTTAGAAGTCGTGATTCCATGAACTTCACTTTCCTCGTGACGGGAACAACGTGGTCTAGCGTGTTCACTCGGAGCAAGGCGACTTATTTCACTTCACGCATTCTCTTAACTTTGCGTTATTATCATTAATTACATTGCAATTTACAAGACGATTTAATGTCTCATAATTATTATACACATTAGAGATCACTCCATTAAGATCTGAGACCGATGAGTGATGATTAAACCAAGGGTAATTTTCCCCGGGACACAGTCCATGGTGACGCGCCAGTCACCCGGTCCTACCCTTATTCACTCAATTTACCACTCTATTACGGTGGTCCCGTAAATCACGTTCCCTCACTCTCCACCTGGAACAGTTACGACACTTCCTATTATGAAATGAGGCCTATATTAATCCTTAGGCAGCCGTGAACGCCAATTTCCTGGTTCCATGCTTTCCCAGCCTCCTCACTACATTCAAAACACTCCCGCCTCTCGTGCCCCCGTTCGACCTATACCCCCACACATCTGCGCATGCGCAGCGGGAACCCAGTTGGTTCCATTCAAAATACAAATACATTTTGACCCAAATCAACACATTAAACACTTATGAGGCACTATAGCTTCGGAAATTAAATAATTTCCACAATACTTATGGGGAGGTAGTCCTTTAGGGATTGATACAGCATCTGGAGAATGGGAGGTAATCGATATTGACCTAACCTGGAGTTCCAGGGGTCAACACCCCCACGGCCTGGTCTGTGACCAGGCCTCCTGGTGGATCAGAGCCTGATCAACCAGGCTGTTACTGCTGGCTGCACGCAATCCGATGTACGAGCCCAGCTGGTCAGGTACCGACTTTAGGTGCTTGAAGACAGCCAGGGGTCTATTGGTAATCCCCTTACGTATGCTGGGAGGCAGTTGAACAGTTTTGGGCCCCTGACACTTATTGTGTTGTCTCTTAACATGCTAGTGACACCCCTGCTTTTCATTGGGGGGATGCTGCATCGTCTGCTGAGTCTTTTGCTTTCGTTGCGAGTGATTTTCGTGTGCAAGTTCGGTACTAGTTCCTCTAGGATTTTCCAGGTGTATATAATCGTGTATCTCTCCCGCATGCGTTCCAGGTAGTACAGGTTCAGGAAATTCAAGTGTTCTCAGTAACTGAGGTGTTTTATCTCCATTATGCGCGCCGTGGAGGTTCTCTGTACATTTTCTAGGTCAGCAATTTCACCTGCCTTGAAAGGTGCTGTTAGTGTGCAGCAATATTCCAGCCTAGATAGAACAAGCATCCTGAAGAGTGTCATCATGGGCTTGGCATCCCTAGTTTTGAAGGTTCTCATTATCCATCCTGTCATTTTTCTAGCAGATGCGATTGATACAATGTTATGGTCCTTGAAGGCGAGATCCTCCAACATGATCACTCCCAGGTCTTTGACGTTGGTTTTTCGCTCTATTTTGTGGAAGGAATTTGTTTTGTACTCTGATGAAGTTTTAATTTCCTCATGTTTACCATATGGGAGTGATTGAAATTTCTCATCATTGAACTTCATATTGTTTTCTGCAGCCCACTGAAAGATTTGGTTGACGTCCGCCTGGAGCCTTGCAGTGTCTGCAATGGAAGACACTCATGCAAATTCGGGTGTCATCTGCAAAGGAAGACACGGTGCTGTGGCTGACATCCTTGTCTATGTCAGATATGAGGATGAGGAACAAGATGGGAGAGAGTACTGTGCCTTGTGGAACAGCGCTTTTCACCGTAGCCACCTCGGACTTTACTCTGTTGACTACTACTCTTTCTGTTCTGTTTGTGAGGAAATTATAGATCCATCTACCAACTTTTCCTGTTATTCCTTTAGCACTCATTTTGTGCGCTATTACATCATGTTCACACTTGTTGAAGGCTTTTGCAAAGTCTGTATATATTACATCTGCATTATTTTTGTCTTCTAGTGCATCTAGGACCTTGTCGTAGGCTGAAGTAGCTTAATTTCTTTGGTTCAAGGGAACTTTATTGGCATCAAGGCACCTCCCTAAAAGGACAAGTTTATTATACTTTTTCCACTGGTCTTGTAAGATGAAACTGAGCTGTGAAGCAATCATAATTGATTTTAAGATTCTACATTTATATATGCATCTTGGTTTATATATAATCACCTACCCAGTTAATATTATGGTTATGGTTTCGATGTGCTTGAAAACAGCAAAACTGGCGTATGCATATCAAAGCCTCTTGCAGCCAGCTAATTTTTTACTAGTGTGTCCTGTTTGCTGAGGGCAAGAGGCAAGGAGGGTACTGCAAGACAGGCAGCAGCAGCAGCAAGACTTTCTCTGAGGATTAACCTTATTTTGACATACTAGAGGCAGATGGATGGTGAGGAGACATGAACTACCTCCAATAACAGCACCAAGGGGTACTAAAGCCCCATAACCTCCATTGGCCTTCAGCTAAGTAATAATAATAGTCAAAACTATGTTCCTAGCCCTCTTTCCAACCTGACTACTACCTCTAATTAGATTCATTCTTAGGGAAATTTTGGAGCTGCCCCAGACCACCACCATCACAGTAGAGAGCAAGAGTTGGGAAGGATTAGGATCTCAAGGTAAGGAGAGTAACATATATATTGTGCTTAAAAAAAAAAAAAAAAAAAAAAGGAATGAGCCTTGGAAGAGTAAGAATGCTGAGTCACCCAATTTTCATGTTGATGACATCCCTCTCATTTTTGGATAACAGACCTCTCACTAACACTTGAAAGGTGATCCTCAAAAAGTTTTTGCTATATGTACTGTATTTAAAAGACTACAGGTAATAAAAACAAGAACACTTGATTTTTCATTTCTTTTTATTCAGAAGTATTATACAGCAATTCATATGTAGCATTACACACACAGGTTGCTGCCCACTTTAAGTGTAAAAATAAAATTTCATTCTTATTTTCCTTTTCTATAGCCTTTCATACAGACAAATTCCACACTAAGTAATGATATCATTATAGTACTTTTAATTCTGTACTGTACAGTTTTTTTTTTTAAATTCAGTAGTGAATTCCAGATTATTTCCACATGTAAATATAAGGAAAATAAATTTTGTCATTACCTTCACATGAACACTTTACACATAGTACAGTACATGTAATTAAGGTAAAGTTCTCCAATATATTAAGGGTATATTAAAAGCTAAAATATATAATGTCATAGCTTGAGCCCAGAATGTCCAGTATATAAATGAACTTTAAAATATTTATAAAATTCATTTCAAAATTAAAAGACATTCAAAAGACATTAGACAACAAGCACTGAATCATACAACCAAAAAATCCCATTTTTTACTAATATTGTATCAAAAATATGGAATATGAAATACAAATATTATGTACAGTATTACATGTGCCACTGAGTTACTATGTAGTATAAAAATATACAAGAAGAGTAAATTATCCTTCCATATTTATGTTTAAAGTACTGTAGTTACAAGTGTTATTTATTTGTGGTTCTGAATATCAAACCCAAATCTGTACAACCTTGCACAGCAAAGCATGACTATAAAAACAGCTGACATTGTAATACCTCAGGATAATTTTGCAATGTGGAATTTCAACACTGGACATTAGTGGGATCCTTGTGGAGTCAAATACTTCTTTTTCCCACTGTCATTAATCACACATATGTGCTGTGGAAAGGAAAATGAAATACAGTATCACAGTAAGCTGTTAAATATATTATATAATTTCTGCATCATGTATAACTATAACATCTATTAAACTAGTCACAAGAGACACTATATGAATTACTTACATTAAGATCTCTGAAGTATTCATTGTAGTCTAAAGCATAACCCACCACAAATTTATCAGGAATTTCAAAGCCACAATCTGAAAACAAAAAGAGGGCACATCTCTACAATAAGACTGCTTATACCATTTATTCAGATTATGTATTTACATTATAATCAGATTATTCAGTATGTGGCATTACATTTGTAAGGAAAAGAAGAGCTGTACAATATTTATATTTTAACACTGTACATGATGACCAGCCATTATTAATGCCATTTAGGATGGAAGCAATGTACATTATTATTATTATAATCAAAAAGAAGCGCTAAGCCACAAGGGCTATACAGCGCTGCAGGGTAGGGAAGGAAGCGAGGGTATTGGATGGCAGAAGGGAGGCGGGATGATCAGTAGGTTACAGAAAACAGCGGGGCAGGGGATAGTACTGGGGTAGAGGGTAGCAAGAGATTGAAGTAAAAAGGGCTGAAGGTATCAGAATTTGTGGGGCTGAAGGTATCAGAATTTGTGAAGTAAGTCAGTTGTTGTCAAAAAGTCAATGAGAGAGTCTGGATGAAAGGTGGGTCCATCAGCGAGAAGGGAAGGTAAAGAGAGAGCAGCGGAGCGAAGACGACGACGGAGGTAAATTCTGCGTGCTCGTTGATAAAGTGGGCAGTCCAAATGTGGCTGACTGATAATGGAACTTGGCAATTCTCACAGAGAGGAGCAGGGCGCCTCTCCATGAGATATCCATGAGTAAGACGAGTATGGCCAATGCGAAGACGGGAGAGAGTAGTCTCCCAACCTCGACACTGGTGATAAGACGGCCAGTAACTTATACTCGGTTTAATAGATTGAAGTTTGTTGCCAAGCATAGTAGACCAACGTTGTTGCCAACGGGTGTGAAGGTGGGAAGATATTGCAGCAAAATAGTCCGTAAATGGAATACCTCTACATGAAACTGGTAGGTCATGTACTGCTGACCGCGCAGCAGTGTCTGCCTGTTCATTGCCCTGTACGTCAACATGACCAGGGACCCAACAAAAAACAATATCTTTATGCTTGGTAAAGATGCGGCGTAGCCAAAGTTGGATACGGAGGACTAAGGGGTGAGGAGTATCAAATTTCTGTATAGCCTGTAAAGCACTAAGGGAGTCTGAGACAACCACAAATGATGACACAGGCATAGATGCAATACAGATAAGTGCTGTAAGGATGGCATACAATTCAGCAGTAAAAATACTAGCTGAAGATAGTAAATGCCCTTGTACGACGCTGTCCGGAAACACTGCTGCGAATCCTACGCCATCAGAAGACTTAGAGCCATCTGTGTACACAGCAATGGCATGAGAATGAGAGTGAAAGTGGTCAAGAAAAAGAGAGTGGGAAGCGACCGTAGACAGTTGGGCTTTCAAGCAAGGGAGAGAGAAAGAACACTCTCGAACAGCTGGAACTTCCCAGGGGGGTAGGGAAAAGTGAGATGCAACTTGTACATAGAAAGGTGGTAATTGAAGAGAAGACAAGAGTGAATGAAGGCGAAGAGAGAAGGGACAGAGTAAACTGGGGCGGCGAACAAATAAAGAATGTCTACTAATATCGGTGACCATTCTATAAATGGAAGGATTGCGGAGATCATGAGAGCGTACATAGTAGCGAAGGCAATGGGCATCACAGCGATCGGATAAGGATGGAACGTTCGCTTCTGCATAGAGGCTCTCGACAGGGGAAGAGCGAAAAGCACCAAGGCATAAACGTAATCCTTGGTGATGAATGGGGTTAAGGCTAGAGAGAGTAGCAGGAGATGCCGCTGAATAGATCTGGTCACCATAATCAAGTTTCGATAAAATAAGGGTGGAATGTAGGCGAAGGAGGGTTCGACGATCAGCTCCCCATGAAAGATGAGCAAGGGTTTTAAGAAGGTTCAGCTGGCTGTGACAAGTTGCCTTCAGAGAGGTAATGTGAGGTTTCCAGGATAACCTACGATCAAAGAGGAGGCCCAGAAACTTGACTGTATCACGTTCAGGGATACGGGAGCCATAGAGGTACAAAGGATGATCGGAGATGACAGAGCGTCTAGTGAAAGTAATTTGGTGGGTTTTAGTGCTGGAAAATTTAAACCCACGTGTGGTGGCCCAATTGGAAACACAGTCGACTGCATGCTGGAGAGAAACTGTAATAAGGTGACAGTCAGCGCCTGCACAGGCAATAGCGAAGTCATCAACATAGAGTGATGACCAAATATTTGATGGAAGACTAGAGGTCAAATCATTAATAGCAAGGAGAAAAAGTGTTGTGCTCAGAACATATCCCTGGGGACACCTTCAGCTTGGATAAAGTCCAGGGAGAGCACATTATTAACCCGAACACGGAAATGCCTGTCAGTTAAAAAAGTTCTTAAGGAAGGATGGAAAGATTGCCTCGAAGGCCAAAGGAGTGGGGGGGCTAAAATATTATACCTCCAAGTGTGTCATACGCCTTCTCAAGGTAAAAAAAATAGGGCATAACTGAGTGGTTATTCGCAAAGGAAATACAAACTACTATCCCAAGAGTAGTAAGGGGTCTTGGTAGAACGTCCCTTACAAAGCCATTTTGACGAGTGGAGAGACTGTTGTGTGTCTCTAATACCACACTAAACATCTATTTACTAGGCGTTCCATCACTTTGCAAACTGCACTGGTAAGAGCAATGGACGATAGTGGGGGGTTTCATGTCCCATAGTGCCTGGTTTGCGGAAAGGGAGAACAATGGCGGTTTTCCCACAGTGTGGAAGAACTCCTTGTGACCAAAAGATTGTAAAGGCGAAATAGGTCTGCAAGGGCTGACTGATGTAAATGTTGCAGCATACGAATATGAATGTCGTCGGGCCCAGCTGCCGATGATCGGCAAGCTGAGAGTGTTGCCCCCAGTTCTTGAAGTGTAAAAGGCACATTATACTGTTTCTTTTCTGAGAGAAGAAAAATCCAAGGGTGCTAACTCTCTGGCAGACTTTGAGGAAAGAAATGAGGGGCATAGATGGAGTCCCTGAGAAATATGGACCAGATGATTCCAATTTCATTGGCAACATCTAGTGGGTTTTTCTATATCAACACCGGCAACCCGCAGAACAGGAGCCGGTCAGGAGAATATTTACCCCTCAGTTTTCGTACTTTTTTTTCCCGAATGCACTCATAGAGGAAGCAGAGGTGAGATGGAGACATAATCTCGCCAGCAAGTGCGTTTTAGCGTCACGGATGACACGGCGAGCGATCGCACGCTTCTGCTTAAAATCAAGAAGTCTCTCTGTGGTTCTATTGTACCGGTACCTGCCCCATGCAGCGCGTTTCAAACGTACTGCCGAGCACAAGCAGGAGACCCCCAAGGCAAAAGCATTTCTGAGAATGCCTGCCTGAAGTTTGGGGTATAGAATGAGAAGCTGAGGTTAAAACGGAGGATGAGAAGAGGTGTAAAAGCTCATCGATGGAGGACGAAGAAGGAACCTCTCTAAAAACAGTTAGGTGTGAGTAAAGGTTCCAATTTTCCTGATCAAATTGCCAGCGTGGGATGCGAAGAGGTGGTGAATATGAAGGGGAAGTAAGAATGATTGGGAAATGATCGCTGTCATGTAAGTCCGAAAGAACAGACCAAGTGAAGTCTAATGCGGCGGAGGAAGAGCAGACTGAGAGATCGGTGCAAGAGAGAGTGCGAGTCCGAGGATCAAAATGGGTGTGAGTACCTGTATTTAAAACATGGAGGGGGTGGGTGGCAAGAAAAAGCCTCTAACTGAATGCCACGGGAATCACAGTGAGACCCACCCCAGAGGATATGGTGGGCATTAAAATCACCAAGTAACAGAATCGGTGGTGGTAATGACGAAACAAGAAAGGCAATATCCGGAATAGATAATGCCCGAGAAGGAGAGAGATATAAAGAACAGAGCGTATACCACCTATGCAAGTGGATACGGGCTGCTGTGTAATGCAGCGAAGTACGAACAAATAGCTGATGGTATGGAATATCAGTGCGTAGAAGAAGGGTACTTTCATTAAAGGTCCCATCAGGAAAAGGATCTGAAGAATACAATAAATTATAGCCTGAGATGGGAGAGATAACAGCAGAGTGTAATTTTGGTTCCTGTAAGCAAACACCAACAGGGGAAAACTGGAAGAGTAACATCTGAAGCTCACCCCGATTACCACTGTAAATAGGCCATGATTGGCAATGATAAAGATACCTGAAATCCGCGGGTAAGGGTTCCTACGGACTAGAGGGGTTAGAAAAGTCCACATGCGGAGGCAGTGGAAAACGTTCAAGCAGCGAAGAATGGAGTTGCGCAGATGGAGTAGAGGAGAGAGAAGGAGCGGAGGGTGGATCAGTGTCCATTGATGGTTTGGTCTCTGCAATATATTCAGAGATTGCTTCAAGTGTTTCAGAATTCAGAGACGTCGTATGGGAGACAATATTGGAAATGGTAGGGGGAGGATGAGTAAAGATTGGAACTGTAATGGACTGTACCAAGGTAGGGGGGGGGCGAAAGGGTGGAGGGAACTGGAGAAGCGTGGAAGGGGACAGAAGAGGCAGAAACCTGGGAGGTGGCAGAAGAGGAAGAAACTTGGGAGGGAACAGGGAAGGAAGGTACAGTATGAGGAGGAGGGTGAACCTCTACACTTGTAACAGAGCCAGTGAGAGGGGGAGAACCAGGTACAGAGACAGGGAAGGGAAAATGAGGAGGTGGAAGATGGGTAGGAGGTGTTAACGGACCTTTTTTTGACTTTTGAGAAGTAGAGGGACGATTGGGAGGTGTCATACGAGATCTCGTTGCTACTGAGGCTTGTGAGAGAGAACACGAAGAAGCGAGATCAGACTGAGACGTTGAAGTAGGGACGTCTGAGCCAAGGACAGCAAAAGAATTAGCTACAGGAGTGACTATGGGAGATGTAACCACAGAGGTGGGTGCAGAAGATGGGATACCAGAAGTGGGGGGACGTTTTGAAACACGGGAATAAGAAACACGAGGTAGTTTCCCTTGGAGGCGGAGATGAGAAACTGCCATGGCATAAGGGAGACCTTCTGCCTCTTTGAGGTAACGGATTTCCCGCTCGTTTAAGTAGACTTGACAACGGCGAGAGTACGAAGGGTGAGCCTCATGACAATTAAGGCAAGAGGGAGGTCGATTGCAAGTCGTATTAGAATGGTCATCGGCACCACAGACTGGGCATTCGGCGATAGATCTGCAATATTTCGCTGGATGGCCAAATCGCCAGCAATTTCTACACTGTTGCGGTGTAGGGATCACCTTTCGAACTTGTAACCGATGTCCTGCTACATAAACTGAGGATGGGAGTTCACGGCTGTCAAATGTTAAACGAGCCACATTGCTAGGGTATCGTCTCCGCCCGCGGGCAGGAAGAACGTAAGTGTCTACCTTGAGGATTGGGAGATCTTGGAGTTCCAGCTGTTCAAGAATGTCAGTGCCACATGTCTGGAAATTTTGTTGAACTATGGTATGGGGCAGAATGACGGTACCACTACAAGAATTGAGGGAATGATGCTTTTCAATAGTGACAGGAACAGTATCGATATGGGAAAGACGAGAAAGCTCATGAGCCTGGGTAGCATTCTGTACGGTGATGATGCGCGTACCGCTCTTAAGAGCATGAAAAGAAATATCTTTACCAACATGGCGTAGGAGTGTCTTGCCAATACTGTGGTCAGAAAGATAGGCAGTAGAGGAAGTCAGTCGTAAAGTGAAGAATTTAGTCCATTGTGCAGTCTGAAACTGAGCGTGGAAAGGTAGTGAAGGACGTGTCGATCTTTTCTGAGAAGAACGAGAAGGTGGAGAAGTATCATCAGCAGGTAATTGTCGTTGGCGTTTAGGCGTGGGACCAGAGTTGGTCCGACGTGGAACGGGCCGGCGATTCGAAAATTGCCGCACCGTAGAGGGAGAGGCCGGAAGCATAGTCAGTCGAGGCCTCAGTACCTGAAGCGGGTGAGGAAACATCACCGGCAAGAGGTACAGAGGCATGAGGAGTGTCCGAAGAGTGGTCCAAAGACGAGGTGGGGTCAGAACGGGGTGCGGTATCAAGAAGGGGCCCGGGGGTAGCAGGTTCATGGACTAGGGCTGCCATGGTTAGGTTACTTCTTTCTTTTTGTTTTTAAGAAAAAAAAGAAAGAAGAAAAGAAAATAAAAATAAAAAAAAAAGAATAAAAAAAGGGGGGACCGGGGAGGGATAGTTCCTAGGAGGAATGAAAGGGCCAGAAATCTCCCTCCGCGCCCAAGAGGACCTCAGCACCGCAAGTAGTGCAGATGCAGCATGGAACTCGTGCCATACCCTACCCATCATGCCAGTAAACCGGCAATCCGGGACAGCAACCTCACATCTGCCGAGCTACCTCGGTGGACAAAAGAGAGGGCGGCCGGAAATCCTCCACAAAGCATACCTCCTTCGGCCACCACCCCCGGAATCCGAAAGGTGGCTTCCAGAGATACACCCGTCGCCCGAGAGACACCCAAAGCCACCCTCCGGGATACCGGAGAGGGATCAGGACATCCCCAGGCAATCCAGATTCCACGGCAAACTACGGCACCACCAAGAACCTCAACGGAATGGGATGGACCCCGGTACCCTTTCCCCTACCTAGGAACTAGCATGCCTGTGGGAAAAAAAAAAAAAAAAAAAAAAAACCAAAGGCCAAAAAGGAAGGGCAAAAGGAAGGGGTGGGGAGGAGGAGGAGGTAAGGAAAAAGGGAAGGATGGGGAGGATGGGATAGGGAACGGGGGACTGGGGGGTAATTAGGTTCGGTCTGAGGAAGTAGACCGACAGGTCTAATTCCTCAGACCAAGAGCCTCTTCACCACGCCAAGGAGCCCCCCTTGAAGAGGAGCAAATATGCAATACTGTGCTATACTCTGATAATGAAGATATAAATATGACTACCTGAAATATACCTGAAGAGGGCTTTAGGGGTCAGCACCCCCATAACCCAGTCTGTGACCAAGCCTCGTGGTAGATCAACAAGGCTGTTACTGCTGGCTGCATGTAAACAAGACATACAAACTACAGCCCAACTGGTCAGGTACTGATTTTAGGTGCCTATCCAGTGCCTTCTTGAAAACAGCCAGGGGCGTCTATACAACACAGACTTTAAACAAAACTAAAATGCGTCTTAACCCTTTGACTGTTTTGGTCGTATATATACGTCTTACGAGCCACCGTTTTTGACGTATATATACTCATAAATTCTAGCGGCTTCAAATCAAGCAGGAGAAAGCTGGTAGGCCCACATGTGAGAGAATGGGTCTGTGTGGTCAGTGTGCACCACTTAAAAAAAATTCCTGCAGCACGCATTGCACAACGAGGAAAAAAACTACGACCGTTTTTTTTTTTAATTAAAATGCCAACTTTGTGGTCTATTTTTGTATGTATTATTTATGGTTGTATTCTCGTTTTCTTGGTCTCATTTGATAGAATGGAAAACATATTATAGAAATAGAGGTGATTTTGATTGGCTTTACTATAAAAAGAACCTGGAAATGGAGCTCAAAGTAGGGGAAATGTTTGATTTTTGCCAATGTTCAAAAGTAAACAAATGATGTCATTTTCCAATAAATGTCCAAGTAGCCATTCTAATATGCAGTCATGAATGGGTTGACATTATTTACACAATTATTACAATATTGCAGTAATCTACGTAACAGTAAATCTTCTATTTTTTGTTTGAATAAAAATTCAAAACAGAAAGCAAGAGTAATATCAGAGGGGCCTGGAGACATGACTGATGAATAAAGAAAATGTTATTTTTGAGCCAAGAATGTCTGCATTGTTCATTCTGGACCGTTTTGAAATTGTCATTTTTTAATTTTCATGAAATTGGCCAAATTGCAAATTTCTGACCCTGTTATTGGGTTGTTGAAATCGGTAAATGGGCAGTTTGTTGTACTCAATCAATAGAAAAAATGGAGTTCTAAAGAAATAGCTATGAGTTTGGTTGACTGGAACAACGGAATTAGCCGAAAATAGAGCTCAAAGTGGGCGAAATCGCCGATTCGTAAATATCGCCGAGGTTGCTAACTTTGCAAGAGCATAATTCCGTCAGTTTTCCATCAAATTTCGTTCTTTTGGTGTCATTACCATCGGGAAAAGATTCTCTATCATTTCATAAAAATAATTTTTTTTTTTAAATTTTTGCGACACCAGGAGACCTCAGGATTTGGGGTTGCGACAGTCAAGGGATTAAGAATTGACAAAATGTTTTACAGAGAAAGTTTTCCTTAGGGTGAAGATAACTGTAATCACATCCTATGATGCTGAAAGATTAATACTACGTATATGTATATACGTCCTATCTGTGAGCCTCTAGAAAGAGTGATAGTGTGAATGGTTGCGAAAGTTCCTTTTTCAGGTCACCCTGCCTCGGTGGGAGACAGCCAGGCATGTTAAAAAAAAATGTGTAGACAAATAAAACAACTAACTTTTAGTGAGTGTGTCATTTTAGCTGATTTGGTATTCACCATAGAGTACTCTATGATATGCCTGTATCTATTATTTTATGACATGGCTCATACAGAAGAAATTTGATGTCACGTGAAATATAAACGATACAAAATGTTAATATATTACAGCACTGTTCTCATGTCAGACAAGAAGTATGCTCAGAACCTTAAGCAAGTAAGTATCATATAACAAATAATGCAAACACTCACAGTCTGGTCTGTATCCTGTTGAATCTGACTTCCTCTTTACCAACAAGGAGGCTACTCTCACTGATTTTGGTTGATGATTCTTAAGAATTGCCAAAAGTTTTTCCATCGTCTTTCCTGTATCAATTATGTCTTCAACAACCAGTACATTGCGGCCGCTAAGACTGACCATGTTGTCCCCTCCAACAACACGTATATCACCAGTGGAATCTGTATTCTTTGAGGAGAAAATATATGTTTTATAAATGTATTAATTTCCCTCAACATCAGAAGCTTTAAAATTTGTAGTAAATTCCCTTGTGTGTGAAATTTTCATATAAATTGTTGTGTATCTTTATACGTTTATGCTTCTAAAAAAAAGAAGAGACATGTCATCATCGTGAATTTTCTGTTGTATTCTAAACACCTCTGCAAAAACAGTGATTATATGTGAGTGAGGTGAAGTGTTGAATGATGATCAAAGTATTTTCTTCTTGGGGATTTTTCTTTCTTTTTGGGTCACCCTGCTTCGGTGGGAGACGGCCGACTTGTTAAAAAAATTATATATATATATATATGTGTATATCATTTAATTTGTTATTTTGAACTTATTAACTTGGGGTAAATATTTTGGTAGTCAAAACGTAAGTAGGTGGGTACCCATTTTCTGACAGTACAACAGACTACCAATTGAAGACACTGTACTTGAGCATAATCTCTCCTTTCATTATAGTGCAGAAATGACTTGGTGGAAGACTAATGAAGCTTTATGCACAATATTTCTTCACTTTCATTTGAAATGTGATTAATATTCAAAATGAAACAACACAATCTTTAAGCAATAACATTCAAAATGAAACAACACAATCTTTAAGCAATAATATTCTAAATGAAACAACACAATCTTTAAGTAATAAGTTGTTACCTCATAACTCTTAAGTCTAATGAAGTCAACATAAAGAGGCACAGATACAGAGGCTTGAGAGCGATTGAGAGCTGTTAACTTGTCCAGTAAATCTGTGAAGAAACGGTAGCCACCTTTCAGGACACACAGAGCAGTTAAGGGTTCATTCTTAACATCCTGAAAGACATCTCGTGCCAGTCTTTCTGTTCTGTGAGGAAAAGGGTACAAAATAATAGAAATCAATAAATTTCCATCTGAAGTGTTTATTGAACTGTCAGCCATCTGGCTTTATCATTATTACTATGATATCCAATACAGAATAATAAAATGACACCAATCTGATTGCTTCCTAATCTCCGGCACTGTGTGCCCCCTTAAGGGTTTGAGTACTGTCCTGTGAATAATTATAATCCTAATTACTTGTGCAATGAAACAAATGCCACTATAATTTCAAGTTTAAATTCAGATTTCATTATTATTATATGTATGGAAAGAGCTACTCGCAGAGTGTCATACAATGAATAGGGGATAGAAGGGAATGATGTCTGATTTAAGGATGGGGAGTGTAGATCAAATTCCTCATATAAAGAACCCTTTATTGGCTTCAAGGTAATCTCCCCCTCTCTCCCCTGGAAGGGTCACTATTGGCTACAAGCTTTTACTGAATCTTTTGCTATATACCTGTCTTGGATGAGTCCCCAGGGAATCATTATATCTTCCAAATCTTCCTCATAATGTTTCGGGACACAGAAGTGAGACAAATGATAACCACTATAATTATCAGGAATCTGTAAATAATGTTTATTTATTAATACCAAACAGTATATTAAAACCTCAAGATATTAATGGGCAGACTAATAACACAAAAAATCCATCATTTAATCCATCCAATACATAAGAATATCAGAACAAGAATAAAGGAACACTGCAGTAGGTCTACTGGCCCTTGCTAGGCAAGTCTAACTCACACCCATTCTTATACTCCTTAAACCTATATTTAAAACTACTCGAAGTACTCACCCTAATGACTACCCATTATTCATCTACAACTCTATTGCCAAACCAGGACTTCCCTCTACCCTTTCTGAATCTAAATTTGTCCAACTATAATCCATTGCTACACGTCCTGTCTTGGTTGGATACTGTCAGCACATTTATATGGCTTTATTTATTCAAGCTTTCCATATGTACAGTCCGACCATATCTCCTTTAATTCCAAGTCTTTCCAGAATACAAATTTAATGCCTTCAGCCTAGCTTTGTTTATTTTGTAATATAGAAACCAGAACCATGCAGCGTAATCTAAACGAGGCCTTGCCAATGATATACATATAATGTTGAAGTTAGGACCTTAGGACTTCTATTATAATGTTTATACTTCTTGACGTGTAACCAAGAATCCTGTTAGCTTAATAGCAATTACATATGCACTGTTGTTTTGACAAGATTTCTGCAATCCGGTACTTTTTTTTTTTTGCCTTCAGTTTGATTAGGCTCTACATAATTTGGGTTATACGTGCCATTGTTATTTTCTTTTCCTATGATTAGAACCATACATTTGTGACTTGCATCTGCCACTTCTTTGACTACATCATCAACTAATGCAGGTCATCCTGTATCCTTCTAGTGTCCTCTTCAGAAATTATCATCTGATGATCTGTTTTAGTGCAGACACTTAAGTCTGTACTTGCTTGTATCTGATTTAATTCACACTTTTAATTTCGATTCCCTGCACTCTTAGAAACTGTAAATTTGAATTATATCAAACACGCGATGTTAAGATTGAAATATGCACGTGCCTGCAAATAAAAGTTTGAAAATCCACATCTTACTTATTTTTCACTTTAAACTGACGATGGTGATTTTTCGTATGCGCACTTGTAGCAGGCTGGGTCAGGCCATGATCTACCGGGTTGCGGGGGCGTTGACCCCCGAAACACCCTCCAAGTATACTCAAGGTATCCACCATAAGTTTAGTTGGTTTAATATATTTATTACGCACCCCATACCCATCCTGTGGGCTGCTTCTACCATGTATGTGAAATGGAAACGTGTTATGATTTTGCACTCTGGTAAGAGTAATGTTCTTTTTACTTCACGGACACGTAGTGACAGGTGAATCTTACTTAGTTCTACATTCTGTATAGTGTATACACATTCCTTTACTTTCTTAAGTGCTTCTTAATAGTTCTTAATCCTATAACATTTTCTTTCTAACCTTGAAGGCCTGGTCTGAGATTATGCCATATGGAAGATGACGGATAAAAGTAATAGATAAGTTCAAGTACATGTATATGAGAGAGAAAAGGGGGGGAGGGGAACACTGGTCCTTCAAATTTCATCATTCCTGACTATAGTCGTCCTAAATGAGCTGAAACGTCATTCAGATTCGATTTATAATATATGGGCTTTTCGCGACACGACTAACAGTACCACTGGGAAATAATGTTGCAAAATTTCAAGAAAATGCGCTACCCAGGAAGGTTTGGAATAAGTGACAAGCACATTATTACATTCACTCTGAAGCGATAAAACCGTAGGGGGGTCACAACGGCTTAAGGAATGTAATGCAATCAGGTTTCATCCAAGAAAGGACAGATCAAATTACATGGATCAAGAGCCCCTCACGAGGTGGTGTACAAACGTGGTAAAAACACCAGTCCTACTGATAAGTCACATCCTGAACAAGATGCCAATGTGTAAAAAATGTCCAAGCACTGTAAATATTTGTTCTATAAAAATACAATTTGCCTCTGTACGTGGGGATGCATGTCTGAAAGGGTGTTACTATCACTGCACCTGGATAATTAGTTTATATATGAACATGCAGATTGGCTAATGTTAACATCTTGAACAATATTCACTTGGGTCGAGAAACTTAACAGACTGTTTGATATCAGAGCAAGAAAAGTGCCATGAAGGTTCGTGTCAAAGTAAATGTAATTTGTAAACTAATGTTTTGACTAATTATGAATGTTAAACACTGGTAAGCTTGCAGTAATTTTTAATAAAACTGAAAAAAAATATAAGTATATGAGCAAGTCACATTGAGAGCACGTGGTCTCCCACCCCAGACGACCTTGGATATTCATATCTATGAGTAACAAGATCACAGTAACACATGTTATCAAAACATGCAAAATAACCACTTGAAAAATAGTTAACTTCATTATCTTTCCCACTGTGGTTATTTTGCTTAAAGGTTGAATGAATTTTAACGAGTGTATATGTCGACTGTCATGCTTAGTACACAACTATGTGGAGTAACATAGTGTACAGTGTTTTGTGCCAAGCCAGTCTAGCGACCAGACCTTTCTGACAAATTTGTGTTATATGCAGCTGGACCCCAATGGAAATAAGTCACTTTGACTCTTTTTGGGTTATCCTAGGTAATTTACACTATGAAAATTGTACTTATGTTACCTGTGCCTAAATAACCCTTTGCAACTTGTCTTGGGTCAGCTTCTGTAGACATCAGTAAGTGTTGTTTAGCACAAGTAAATTAGATTGTTATAAATAATTATTATAATCAGGGGAAGCTCTGTACCCATTAGGTGGTATTATAGCTCCTGGGGAATGAGGCAGGAATGTATGTATAAAATAAATTATGTAAGTGTGGTGGAGGTACATGAGGCATTACGTAGAATGAAAGGGGGTAAAGCAGCTGGAACTGATGGGATCATGACAGAAATGTTAAAAGCAGGGGGGATATAGTGTTGGAGTGGTTGGTACTTTTGTTTAATAAATGTATGAAAGAGGGGAAGGTACCTAGGGATTGGCGGAGAGCATGTATAGTCCCTTTATATAAAGGGAAAGGGGACAAAAGAGATTGTAAAAATTATAGAGGAATAAGTTTACTGAGTATACCAGGAAAAGTATACGGTACGGTTATAATTAAAAGAATTAGAGGTAAGACAGAATGTAGGATTGCGGATGAGCAGGGAGGCTTCAGAGTGGGTAGGGGATGTGTAGATCAAGTGTTTACATTGAAGCATATATGTGAACGGTATTTAGATAAAGGTAGGGAAGTTTTTATTGCATTTATGGATTTAGAAAAGGCATATGATAGAGTGGATAGAGGAGCAATGTGGCAGATGTTGCAAGTATATGGAATAGGTGGTAAGTTACTAAATGCTGTAAAGAGCTTTTATGAGGATAGCGAGGCTCAGGTTAGGGTGTGTAGAAGAAAGGGAGAATACTTCCCGGTAAAAGTAGGTCTTAGACAGGGATGTGTAATGTCACCATGGTTGTTTAATATATTTATAGATGGGGTTGTAAAATAAGTAAATGCTAGGATGTTTGGGAGAGGGGTGGGATTAAATTATGGGGAATCAAATTCAAAATGGGAATTGACACAATTACTTTTTGCTGATGATACTGTGCTTATGGGAGATTCTAAAGAAAAATTGCAAAGGTTAGTGGATGAGTTTGAGAATGTGTGTAAAGGTAGAAAGTTGAAAGTGAACATAGAAAAGAGTAAGGTGATGAGGGTATCAAATGATTTAGATAAAGAAAAATTGGATATCAAATTGGGGAGGAGGAGTATGGAAGAAGTGAATGTTTTCAGATACTTGGGAGTTGACGTGTCGGCGGATGGATTTATGAAGGATGGGGTTAATCATAGAATTGATGAGGGAAAAAAGGTGAGTGGTGCGTTGAGGTATATGTGGAGTCAAAAAACGTTATCTATGGAGGCAAAGAAGGGAATGTATGAAAGTATAGTAGTACCAACACTCTTATATGGATGTGAAGCTTGGGTGGTAAATGCAGCAGCGAGGAGACGGTTGGAGGCAGTGGAGATGTCCTGTCTAAGGGCAATGTGTGGTGTAAATATTATGCAGAAAATTCGGAGTGTGGAAATTAGAAGGCGTGGAGTTAATAAAAGCATTAGTCAGAGGGCAGAAGAGGGGTTGTTGAGGTGGTTTGGTCATTTAGAGAGAATGGATCAAAGTAGAATGACATGGAAAGCATATAAATCTATAGGGGAAGGAAGGAGGGGTAGGGGTCGTCCTCGAAAGGGTTGGAAAGAGGGGGTAAAAGAGGTTTTGTGGGCTAGGGGCTTGGATTTCCAGCAAGCGTGCATGAGCGTGTTAGATAGTGAATGGAGGCGAATGATACTTGGGACCCGACGATCTGTTGGAGTGTGAGCAGGGTAATATTTAGTGAAGGGATTCAGGGAAACCGGTTATGTTCATATAGTCGGACTTGAGTCCTGGAAATGGGAAGTACAATGCCTGCACTTTAAAGGAGGGGTTTGGGATATTGGCAGTTTGGAGGGATATGTTGTGTATCTTTATACGTATATGCTTCTAAACTGTTGTGTTCTGAGCACCTCTGCAAAAGCAGTGATAATGTGTGAGTGTGGTGAAAGTGTTGAATGATGATGAAAGTATTTTCTTTTTGGGGATTTTCTTTCTTTTTTGGGTCACCCTGCCTCGGTGGGAGACGGCCGACTTGTTGAATAAATAAATAAATAAATTATATATATATATATATATATATATATTATATATATATATATATATATATTATATATATATAGCTGGCACTGGACAAGCACCTAAAGTCAGTTCCGGATCAGCCGGGCTGTGGCTCGTACGTTGGTTTGCGTGCAGCCAGCAGCAACAGCCTGGTTGATCAGGCTCTGATCCACCAGGAGGCCTGGTCACAGACCGGGCCGCGGGGGCGTTGACCCCCGGAACTCTCTCCAGGTAAACTCCAGGTATTATATATATATATATATATATATATATATATATATATATATATATATATATATATATATATATATATATATATATATATATATATATAAATCTCAGATGGTTTCTACATAAGCCATGTAATAGCTGCTCTGTTAAAGAAATATAAAACCTACCCTGACTTTTTTGGGTTATCCTAGGTTCTCTACACATATGCTGCTATGTATGATAATTCTATGTAACTGTATTTGTGTATACCTGAATAAACTTACTTACTTACTTACTTACTTAACAGAGAAATCACTGACGGGTTGTAACAGGTTAAGCTTTACAATGTATTAATGTCTAAATCTTTAGTGCCCTCAAAAACCAGTGCGCGAACTTATACTACTGTATAAAAGCATTTGTAGACAAGAACTAAATCTAATTTTATTTTAAACTACAATTGCTTTCTTCAGCCTATTATAATGTACTTTCGTCATTTTGATAGGTCATCACTTGTGGCAATATGTTAAATATGCTGCCCTAACATAGACGTAATGTCTAACACTAATACCCAGTTAATGCTGGTATGTCTACAGTGTAGACATAATTGGAACAAGTGTCATGCAAAATGAACAATGCATTTGTCCTTACCTTTATAAAAGTTTCAGCCATGATGAATGTGCAAACCCACAACTGTGTGAATAAGGAGAGTTAAAAAATTAACCGTAATACAGCACTAGAAGCAGCGTCCAGCCTGCTTCCTTGCCTCCTCCCGCCACACTGAACAAAGTTCACAGTGTGTTGATGTCTTACGTCTTCTCTCAGTCACCTGCACTTCTTTCAAGAAATAAATGTATCTGTTATGTTTACTTTTGATTAAATACCGCTCATATACATTAATGGATCTACAAAAACATTGTTGAGTTTACTCGTGACTTATGTGGTAGTGTGTCTGGTTAAGAATAAAAATAATTAATAAAATTATCTGGCACCATCATTCCCAGAGTACCAGCAGATGCTTGCCAGGGTGGCCAACCCACCTTAGACAAGAGTATTACTGAGAGATTATCCCACTAATTTAGGGATTCAAGCATTCTTGACTGGTGGTGAATAGGTTACACGCATCCTTAATAAGCCTTTGTCTAATCGATAGGCTTTAAACTCAGTTAACCAACCATCCGAACTTTATGACCATAATTTTTAAGGGGTTGGACCGGTATGCCAGCGGAAGGCTTCGGTCAGACGACGGAAAGCTCCAACGGCGGGTCATCATATGACTAAGACCCGCGTCAGGAAACACTTCTCCTGTTTCCTGACGAACCTTACCTAATCTAACCTAAAAAGGCAATGTATACACAGTATATATAGAAAAAACCTTCATCGTTGTGGAAAATTGCATTTATCTGAATGTAACTCATTATGTACATAACAGTAAATGATAACAAAGATTATTATTTATCAGAGTTACATAGACAAGCAGGAATTTGGGACACCTAGGTCGCAAAAATGTCCCCCTTCGATACCTACCACTGTCATATCCACAAGTTGCTCTGAACCTATTAATTATCAAATGAAAAATACATCACCAGGAATGCTGGTAAATATATAAATTTGTGGACTGTATATTAAAATTAAAGAATAATTATAGATATACACAATTACATAACAGAAAGAGAATATCTTAATATCACTCACCAATTTGACTGGAGATTAATGTGTATCATACTCAGAAAACCTCACTCTAATTAAATCTATGAAAATAATGCTGGTCAGAATTACACACAAATCTAGAGAGCTTATCTGAGGTTCCTGGAGCTGTCTTGTCCAGTTATCTGGTTGATCAGGCGCTGATCCACCAGGAGGCCTGGTCACAGACCGGGCCGCGGGGGCGTTGACCCCCGAAACTCTCTCCTGGAGTTTACCTGGAGAGAGTTCCGGGGGTCAATGCCCCCGCGGCCTGGTCTGTGACCAGGCCTCCTGGTGGATCAGAGCCTGATCAACCAGGCTGTTACTGCTGGCTGCACGCAAACCAACGTACGAGCCACAGCCCGGCTGATCAGGAACCGACTTTAGGTGCTTGTCCAGTGCCAGCTTGAAGACTGCCAGGGGTCTGTTGGTAATCCCCCTTATGTATGCTGGGAGGCAGTTGAACAGTCTCGGGCCCCTGACACTTATTGTATGGTCTCTTAACGTGCTAGTGACACCCCTGCTTTTCATTGGGGGGATGTTGCATCGTCTGCCAAGTCTTTTGCTTTCGTAGTGAGTGATTTTCGTGTGCAAGTTCGGTACTAGTCCCTCTAGGATTTTCCAGGTGTATATAATCATGTATCTCTCCCGCCTGCATTCCAGGGAATACAGGTTCAGGAACCTCAAGCGCTTCCAGTAATTGAGGTGTTTTATCTCCGTTATGCGCGCCGTGAAGGTTCTCTGTACATTTTCTAGGTCAGCAATTTCACCTGCCTTGAAAGGTGCTATTAGTGTGCAGCAATATTCCAGCCTAGATAGAACAAGTGACCTGAAGAGTGTCATCATGGGCTTGGCATCCCTCGTTTTGAAGGTTCTCATTATCCATCCTGTCATTTTTCTAGCAGATGCGATCGATACAATGTTATGGTCCTTGAAGGTGAGATCCTCCGACATGATCACTCCCAGGTCTTTGACGTTGGTGTTTCGCTCTATTTTGTGGCCAGAATTTGTTTTGTACTCTGATGAAGATTTAATTTCCTCGTGTTTACCATATCTGAGTAATTGAAATTTCTCATCGTTGAACTTCATATTGTTTTCTGCAGCCCACTGAAAGATTTGGTTGATGTCCGCCTGGAGCCTTGCAGTGTCTGCAATGGAAGACACTGTCATGCAGATTTGGGTGTCATCTGCAAAGGAAGACACAGTGCTGTGGCTGACATCCTTGTCTATGTCAGATATGAGGATGAGGAACAAGATGGGAGCGAGTACTGTGCCTTGTGGAACAGAGCTTTTCACCGTGCCTGCCTCGGACTTTACTCTGTTGACTACTACTCTCTGTGTTCTGTTAGTGAGGAAATTATAGATCCATCGACCGACTTTTCCTGTTATTCCTTTAGCACGCATTTTGTGCGCTATTACGCCATGGTCACACTTGTCGAAGGCTTTTGCAAAGTCTGTATATATTACATCTGCATTCTTTTTGTCTTCTAGTGCATCTAGGACCTTGTCGTAGTGATCCAATAGTTGAGACAGACAGGAGCGACCTGTTCTAAACCCATGTTGCCCTGGGTTGTGTAACTGATGGGTTTCTAGATGGGTGGTGATCTTGCTTCTTAGGACTCTTTCAAAGATTTTTATGATATGGGATGTTAGTGCTATCGGTCTGTAGTTCTTTGCTGTTGCTTTACTGCCCCCTTTGTGGAGTGGGGCTATGTCTGTTGTTTTTAGTAAACTCCAGGTCTCCAGGTATCTCAAGTTATGCAGGAATGCACATTCACCAATTTCGCCTCTTATTTGAGAGGTGTCAACACAATTTTAACCTCTAGAGCACGAAAAATTCTTCCCATTACACCAACGTTTGTACAAATTCAAAACCAAGATGGCGAGTCTCGTCTGCGCAGACGCAGGCTTTCCGTTTTCTATGACATAAATATTATTAAATACAGTATGGCCATCTATTTACATATAAATACTGAATTTCTGGAAAATATATACAGTATTTTCCACAATCGTCAACACTTTCACCATCATTCATATATAATCACTGATTTCCAGAGGCACTCAGATACGACAGTTTAGATGTCCCTCCAAACAGCCAGTATCCCAAACCTCTCCTTTTCAAAGTATAGGCATTGTACTTCCCACCTCCAGTACTCAAGTCTTTCTAACCAGTTTCCCTGAATCTTTTCACAAAATATTACCCTGCTTACACTCCAGTAGCTCGTCAGGCCCCAAAAAACCACTTGTTTCCATTCACTCCTATCTGACACGCTCGTGCATGCTTGCTGGAAGTCCAAGCCTCTCGCTCACAAAACCTCCCTTACCTTCTCCCTCCATACACATGTATACCTACATACGTCTGTTGAAGGGTTTCAGCCAAATACTTTTTTCAATCAAAATATTTGTATATGTACCTCTGTATGACCCTTGTGGGCTTGTGGGTTTAGCTCTTAGTTTTGGTTGTAATAATAATTTGTATGGGCAGTGAAGGTCTCTTGATCCCAGAGATTAGAGCTACCCTCCACTTCCTTTTATCAAATCTGCCTCTCATTCCTCATGCACTATATGATCCCTGTGTTTTTAGCACTTTTCCCAAATGCAGTAAATCCTTGATATAATGGACTTCAAAAATACAAAAGGAAATCTGCAATCACTTGATTTAGAAAAAACAAAGTCATCTGGTTATGGAATTTTCTGTTATTGTTAAAATCACATGGTGTCCTGTGGCTTGGCTGGCAACACTCTCACCTCACACACTAAGTGTCTGTGGTTTGATTCCAGATATGGGTGGAAATACTGGGTGTTTCAATACACCTGCTGTCCCTATTCACTTAGTATTATTATAATCAAGGGGGAAGTACTAAACCCATAGGATTATACAGTGCCTGTGGGGAGAATGTGGAAGGTATTCAGGCTTAATTCAGGGAACTGGAGCACGGATCCAGTTCCCTAGATCAAGAGACCCTCACCAGCATCAGTGTTCACCTGGCAGTAAGTAGGTACCTGGAAGTTAGTCGACAGGTGTGGGTCGCATCCTGGGGAACAAAACTGAAGGACCCCAATGGAAATTAGACAGACAGTCCTTGATGATGCACTGAGATTCTTGGGTTATCTTGGGTGGCTAACCCTCTGGGTTAAAAATCTGAAAAATTTTTATCTTAATCTTATTGCATTTTGCTTATGCTTTCTCAGAGTTCAAGCACAATGAAATGTCTTCCAGTGAACTGCCATCAGATATATTAAACTATGCTCTCATGATTACGAATTGCAGATACACAACTAGCACAGATACCACAAGTTGCTAGCATCTACAATTTTTTGATAGGGAGTGATACAGTCATCCAGACATAAAAGAATGGCTTTAAATTTAATGGATGCATATAGAGAAGTCACTAATATTTTTTTTATATGTACAGTTCATATTTATTAACTTTTATTTTTCATTTTGGACTACCCGTTGGTGAGATGCGGCAGATTTGTTGAAAGAAGTAGCAGCTCATATTTATTCTAATCACTAAAAAATATTAAACTGAGGAAAGGATATGATTTAACAAAGTGTAATTCACTTTACAGGGTGTTGCTAAGAAATTTATTATACAAGTACAGCATAAAATGGCTAGACTGAGTTTTATTGTACCTTCGACCAATCACATCTGGAAGATGCTGCTTATTTAGGTGAGAAGTAATAGAAAGGTTGAATTCTAATGAGAAACAATTGAACTTCTACAATTGCTTCATAAAGTCTAGTGTTTCCCTATCTTTCTCATTCTAATCAATATAAAAGGTCAATATCAAAATACTTCATTAATTAGATACATGAATTTATTGTTATGAATATACATAATATTATATAACAGCATAGGCTTCATTGCTTGACAGAGAGAAGCTCTTGATCACGTTGCCAAAGTCGTTTGCACAGAAAATTGAGGATGGGTGCTGTGTGAGTTAATTCATCTGAGTGGTCATCTCCAGTGCCTCCAAGCTTCAAGATTGGTACTCCATGAACTGCTTCAAAGGATTCCATCTCTGCCTCAGTTACCTCTCGATGTGAGAACTGATCATACCTGAAATTGGTAAAAGTAAGCAAACTCAGTATACTACTGTATATAAGTTTTTCTGAGGAATCTCACTGTTTGGACAATTAGTCTCACATGGTTATTTTGTGTACAAGCAAACAGTACATATATGCATGTGTGTTTAGTACACATGCTATTAAAAAATTATTAATTTTTTTAATTCCATTTCAATTACATACTGCCATATTCTAGTCACCTTACATAACCATACAATATAGCAAAATATACTGTGAAGGACCTGGGAGTTATAATGTCAGAGGACCTTGCCTTCAAAGACCACAAAAATGTATCTACCACACATGCTAGAAAAATGATAGGATGGTTAATGAGAACCTTCAAAACTAGGGACACCAAGCCCGTGATGATTCACTTCAAATCGCTTGTTCTCTCTAGGCTGGAATACTGCTGTACACTAACTGCCCCCTTCAAGGCTGGCAAAATTGGAGAGCGTACAAAGAACTTTCACAGCACATGTAGGTATGATAAGGGCCCCTAAATTACTGAGAACGGTTGAAGTCCCTTGATTTGTATTCCCTGGAATGCTGGCGAGAGAAATACATGATAATATACAATTGGAAAATCCTAGAGGGATTAGTACCAAATTTGCACACAAAAATTACTCCCTATGAAAACAAAAGACTCGGTAGAACATGCAACATTCCCCCAGTGAAAAGCAGGGGTGCCACGAGTACACTGAAAGACAACACAATAAATGTCTGGGGCCCAAGACTATTCAACTGCCTCCCAGCATACATAAGGGGGATTACCAATAGACCCCTGACTGTCTTCAAGCAGGCACTGGACAAGCACCTAAAGTCAGTACCTGACCAGCCGGGCTGTGGCTCGTATGTTGGATTGCATGCGGCCAGCAGTATCAGCCTGGTTGATCAGGCTCTGATCCACCATGAGGCCTGGTCACAGACTGGGCCACAGGGGCGTTGACCCCCAGAACTCTCTCCAGGTAACTCCAGGAAAAGATAAGTTACACATTTTCTTTATATTTCAGAATACTGAATACACCCTGTCCTCACTTAGCGACGAAGTTCCATTCCCAAGACCACGTTGGTAAAAGAATTCATCAGTAAGTGAGGAGCATACTATAATGGTAGTGGGTTTGTGTCAACTATCTCTGATATTCTCCATGGGGAAGTGGAACAGAATTCTTCCTCCGTAAGCCATGCGTGTCATAAGAGGCGACTAAAATGCTGGGAGCAAGGGGCTAGTAACTCCTTCTCCTGTATATATTACTAAATTTAAAAGGAGAAACTTTTGTTTTTCCTTTTGGGCCACCCTGCCTCGGTGGGATACGGCTGGTACGTTGAAAGAAAGAAGAAGATCTCTGATATTGTTTTAATGTCACCTTTGCACCATTTATAACATTTCTGGTATATTTTTAAATGTTTATACAGTAGTGTAGTGTATACTGTAATAAACAGAATAGAGGAAATCAGTTCTAGTGTACATTATTTAGGCATGCATACTGGTCAGAGAACCCGCCGTAAGTCTGTGGCATCTGTAAACGAGTACGTCACTAAGTGAGGAGAGGCTGTAATAGAATACAGTGGTACCTTGAATTTCGAACAGCTCCCAACTCGAACAATTATGTAAGTGTATTTTTGTAAGTGCTTTTGTAAGTGTATTTTTGGGGGTCTGAAACGGACTAATCTAACTTATGTTATTCCTTATGGGAACAAATTTCTTTGGTAACGGCTCTTGAACAGCCCTCTGCAATGAATTTCGGCCGAAATTCGAGGTACCATCATACCAATACCAAACATAACAGGGCCTAATCAAATTACTGTATTAATAAAAAAAATACAAAAATGCTACGCCTGCAATGTACAGGTCTCCCTCCACATTCGCGAGTTCCTTTTTCGCTGGCTTCGAACATTCGCGAATGCCCAGCCACAAAATCATAATGTGTATATACAATATTTTATGATGTTTTCGTGTGTTTTATGATTGTTCAAGGTTCAACAGGTTAAGGAAGCAGTATTGTTTGGCTAAGTAAATGCTATTATTATATTATTACGAGGGTCTTGATCCTCTAACCCTCGTGAATCTGGAGGGAGACCTGTATAGGTTTTTCAGCACTGTTCATCAAGTATGTATATACACTTTCAAAAAATATATACCTGAATGATTTGAGATTACTAGGACTGAATAAGAAAACTTTTATGTAAGCATAAAGAAAAAAGATAAAAACCTTGTTGCTACAGCAATTTTGGCAGCACGATCTGCTGGTTGAGTAGCAGATGATAACAAACGTGGTAACTCTGTCCAACTCTCTCGGTCTATTACTGAGAAGCACAGTAAAACAGCATCGACTCCTTCGCGACAAGCCTTGAAATTAATATTTAGTGTCATTAATTTGAAAGTTATGATATCCAGAAAATACATTGATTCCACTTTAGGTTACTCCACATAAATAAAATTATGTACACAGCACAGTGGTCCCCCGCTTTTCGTAGTTCCCGGCAATCGTAAAATTCGCCAATCATAGGGGTATTTTCGTATAAACATGGACTCGCTTTTCGTAGGTTGACTCGCGAGTCATAGTTTGTCCGGGACGCATACCCACGGCGTGAGCCGGGGCGGCAGCCAGTCTGGCATTGTTTACCAGTGAGCGAAGGTCCCCTCACATGCTCCAGCGAAATATTTCATAATATTCCATTTATTTTAATGCTTGCAAGTACTAAATAAGCTACCATGGCTCTAAAGAAAGCTCCTAGTGCCAAGCCTGTGGTAAAGAAGGTGAGAGATACGATTAAATTTAAGAAAACCATCATTGAACAATATGAAAGTGGTACAAGTGTGGCTGAACTGTCCAGGATGTATAAGAAACCCTACACAACCTTATGTTCCATAGTGGCCAAGAAAAAGGAAATAAAGGATGCTGTTGTTGCGAAGGGAGTAACTATGCTGACAAAAATGAGATCACCAGTACTGGAAGAGGTTGAAAAGTTATTATTGGTGTGGATAAATGAGAAACAATTAGCAGGAGATACTCTTATGACTTCGATTATTTGTGAAAAGGCTAGGCAGTTGCATGAAGATTTGGTAAAGAAATTGCCTGCAAATAGTGGTGAAGTGAATGAATTTAAGGCCAGCAAAGGCTGGTTTGAGAGATTTCTATGCCAGGTACTGGCATATGAGTGGTAAGGCATGGTGAGGCTGCCAGTTCGGACCACAAGGCGGCTGAAAAATATGTGCATGAGTTCCAGGAGTACATAGAGGCTGAAGGACTGAAACCTGAACAAGTGTTCAATTGTGACGAAACAGGCCTCTTTTGGAAGAAAATGCCAAAGAGGACCTTCATTACACAAGAGGAAAAGGCAATGCCAGGACACAAGCCTATGAAAGACAGGCTGACACTAATGTTCTGTGCTAATGCAAGTGGGGATTTCAAAGTGAAGCCATTACTAGTGTATCATTCTGAAAATCCCAGAGTGTTCAGGAAAAATAATGTTATGAAGAATAAATTGTGTGTTTTGGAAATCTAATAGTAAGGCATGGGTCACGAGGGAAATTTTCGTCGAGTGGTTTAATGAAGTGTTTGGCCCTAGTGTGAAGGAGTATCTCCTGGAAAAGAAATTGGATCTCAAGTGCCTGCTAGTAATGGACAATGCACCTGCTCATCCTCCAAACTTGGATGACCTAATTTTCGAGGAGTTTAGGGTCATCACAGTAAAGTTCTTGCCCCCGAATACCATTCCTCTCCTCCAGCCCATGGACCAGCAGGTTATTGCAAACTTTAAAAAACTCTACACAAAAGCAATGTTTCACAGGTGCTTGACTCTGACCACAGACACTCACTTGACCCTAAGCGAATTTTGGAGAGAACACTTCAGCATCCTCCACTGCATAACCCTTATAGGTATGGCTTGGGAGGGAGTGACTACCAGGACTTTGAACTCTGCCTGGAGAAAATTGTGGCCAGATTGTGTCGACAAGAGGGATTTTGAAGGATTTGGGACTGACCCTAATGAGCCTATGTCTGTTGTAAAATCAATTGTGGCACTGGGGAGTTCCATGGGGTTGGATGTGAGTTTGGAGGATGTGGAAGAATTGGTGGAAGACCACAATGAAGAGCTCACCACTGAGGAGCTTCAAGAGCTTCAGCAGGAAGAGCAACACTTCGCAGCTCAGAATCTTGCTGTAGAGGAGGAGGAAGAGAGATGGAAGAAGGTGCCTTCTTCAGAAATTAAAGAGATTTTTACTATGTGGGGTAAGATGGAAAGCTTTATGGAGAAACATAACCCTAACAAGGTTGTTGCAAGCCATATTGGCAACATGTACAGTGACAAAGTCTTGGGCCATTTTAGGGAAGTGTTAAAGAGATGCCAGAAACAGAGCTCTCTCCACAGTTATTTTGTGAGACAGGACTCCAGTGACTCTCAAGGTGGTTCTAGTGGCATTAAGAAACAGAGAAGAGAAGCAACCCCAGAAAAGCAAATGGTACCTGAGGTGTTGATGGAAGAGGATTCCCCTTCCAAACTATAAACAATCCACTCTCTCTCCTCCTCCAGTCTCCCATACACTAAGAAGAATCTCCAATAAAGGTAAGTGTTATGCTGTTAATGTTTCATTCATCATTTCCCATTGTATTGTTTATGTACTACATGTATATTTCATGTTAAAAATTTTTTTGTTTTAATACTTCTGGGTGTCAGGAACGGATTAATTGTATTTACATTATTTCTTATGGGGAAAATTGATTCATAAATCGTAAATTTCGTTTATAGTAACGGCTCCAGGAACGGATTAATTACGAAAAACGAGGGACCACTGTACAAGACTTTCTACAAACAATAATAAGTATAAAACTTAAAGAAATTTTATATTTTATTCTATTCCTTACATATATTACATGTATACAGTACTACATATATTAAATATTATATCATATTACATTTTATTATATATTACTGTACATTATATTATATAGGTGGGGTAGGGGTCGTCCTCGAAAAGGTTGGGGGGAGGGGGTAAAGGTTTTGTGGGCGAGGGGCTTGGACTTCCAGCAAGCATGTGTGAGCACGTTAGATAGGAGTGAATGGAAATGAATGGTTTTTGGGACCTGACGAGCTGTTGGAGTGTGAGCAGGGTAATATTTAGTGAAGGGATTGAGGGAAACCAGTTATTTTTATATAGCTGGACTTGAGTTCTGGAAATGGGAAGTACAATGCCTGCACTTTAAAGGAGGGGTTTGGGATATTGGCAATTTGGAGAGAGATGTTGTGTATCTTTATATGTATATGCTTCTAAACTGTTGTATTCTGAACACCTCTGCAAAAACAGTGATTATGTGTGAGTGAGGTGAAAGTGTTGAATGATGATGAAAGTATTTTCTTTTTGTGGATATTCTTTCTTTTTGGGTCACCCTGCCTCGGTGGGAGATAACCGACTTGTTAAAAAAAAAAAATGTACATATACAGTATAGGGTACGGTATAGAAAATCAACATACTGGCAATATGTGGTTGTAGCGTTTGACACTAGAATCTCCAGCATCCCATATTTCTAGACGGAATAAGATAAGACGGTTACCAATCTTCATTGGCCAATATACATTACTACACTGGATTCCTGCTGTTTCTATGTGTTGAGATGGTAACTGCAAAGCAGAATAACACTATCAATTAAAAATTTGTGCAAAGTTTATTTGCCTAAGACAAGGACTTCAAGAACATGTTGGGATCACAAAGTTATATTATTTATTGTTTTCATTAACACACCAGCCGTCTGCCACTGAGATGACATGTAGGAGTCATACAGCACTCGGGGGACGGGAGACAATCAGATTCAACTCAAGGAAGGGAAGAAGAGGTCCAATTACTCAGACTGGCAATAGGGCACCTCTCTTGAGGGATCTATTTATACAAATTTAAAAAACTTAGAAATACATACTGTAATTCCTTACAAGAAAATGATTTGCAACTTATCATTCTGTAAATGGAATACTTTACACAAAATCACATTAAAAACTCTTAGACAATAAATAATTTAGTTTCTTATACTATATCAAACACATGAAGTATGGGGCAGTGCTGTACTGTAGTAATCCCCCCCACCACAAAAAAAATATATATATGTATATCTTACAAGTGTTTGAATATTTTCAGTTAACTGATCATGGGAAGAAACTTATTTTCTCCATTACTGTACCAATAATACTAAAATCAATCATAAAACCCACCTGGAGAATTTTCTGTCCCAGCCATTTCCCCAGGTGGGAGTTTATGAGGGTATCAAGACATCAGGTACATAGTAGACATACTGTTACAGAGTGAGCAAGGTAACATTTACGAGGGAATTCATGAAAACTGGTTAGCCAGCAAGAAGTACAATGCTTGCACTCTGATAGAAGAGTGGGGATATTGTGGTCTGAAGGATCATTTGAAGTGTGACAGATATACAATCTCTGACAAGATAGCTATTGATGAATGACTGTGAATGTTTCCTTATTTCTGAGTCATCCTACTATGGTGGAAGACAGCTGGTGTGTTAAAAAATGTAAAAAAAAGCTAAAAATATAAAATTTAATATTAGTTAAGTAACAGTTGCAACTCTTAGAAAATAAATTTTTCAAAAGTAGCATAAAATTAAAAACACTCACTTCCTGTCCTGACAGTCGATTCATAGTCCATGTCTTTCCTGAGGATGCTTTCCCAAACATAAAAATCTTGTAGGTTACACTTGGGGCAGATGGTGGTAGGTTTGGTTTTTCTAAAATTCCTGTGCATAAGAGTAAATCATATGTGTATAAACATTTTTATTATTTTTGTTGATTATTTTTTGTAAAATGTATTGACACTGCAAAGCTGTGAGATATAATGGACTATCTAGCACTGAACGAAACATAAAATGGGTAACAGAATAAGAAAGCCAGGAAACTAGGAGTGCAACTGGAATTATCAAGCAAGGATGAAATCGGAGAGATGCTGAATAAGGAGGTAGAGGTATTACAAAGATTGTGTGACTAAATGGCAGTTGTATTACCTGGAGTTTACCTGGAGAGAGTTCCGGGGGTCAACGCCCCCGCGGCCCGGTCTGTGACCAGGCCTCCTGGTGGATCAGAGCCTGATCAACCAGGCTGTTGCTGCTGGCTGCACGCAAACCAACGTACGAGCCACAGCCCGGCTGATCCGGAACTGACTTTAGGTGCTTGTCCAGTGCCAGCTTGAAGACTGCCAGGGGTCTGTTGGTAATCCCCCTTATGTGTGCTGGGAGGCAGTTGAACAGTCTCGGGCCCCTGACACTTATTGTATGGTCTCTTAACGTGATAGTGACACCCCTGCTTTTCATTGGGGGGATGGTGCATCGTCTGCCAAGTCTTTTGCTTTCGTAGTGAGTGATTTTCGTGTGCAAGTTCGGTACTAGTCCCTCTAGGATTTTCCAGGTGTATATAATCATGTATCTCTCCCTCCTGCATTCCAGGGAATACAGGTTTAGGAACCTCAAGCGCTCCCAATAATTGAGGTGTTTTATCTCCGTTATGCGCGCCGTGAAAGTTCTCTGTACATTTTCTAGGTCGGCAATTTCACCTGCCTTGAAAGGTGCTGTTAGTGTGCAGCAATATTCCAGCCTAGATAGAACAAGTGACCTGAAGAGTGTCATCATGGGCTTGGTCTTCCTAGTTTTGAAGGTTCTCATTATCCATCCTGTCATTTTTCTAGCAGATGTATATAGATGAAATACAAACAGAAACGTCATATTTGGGATGAAGAAAATGAAACCTAAAATACCTAGCTATTAACAACATGCATTACATATTTTTCACTAAAAGAACACAGTTAAATTATATAAACACTTGCACCCAGGGACAAAACTGACCTAATGTGCCCAAAATGCTCTGCATAATAGGGGGTTTTCTATATAGTAGTATGTCATTGGTGTCAGCTATGGTCTGTATACCTTGTACATGTACTTGTAAGATTATTGTTATTATTAATAGTAGTATTAGCAATATATAATAATAATACTAATAATAATAATAATAATAAATGTTTACTTCTAATAATTTTACAACAATGGTATAATAAATTTAAATTTCCATGGTATGCACAACAATTCGAGCAAATATTATAATAATTAACACTAAAGTGAGGATGAGTGAGACATAGGTTAGCAGCTTCTATAAGAACAAAAGCTCTCTAATAAAAATGGGATTTCATACAACTATAGATAACTATGCATATCATACAAGAAGTTTAAATAAAAAAACAAAAAGTTCATTGCTTCTCAACTTACCAAATAGTTTTCTCTTATTTGTTCCTGGAATCAAGAGCTTTTGCTGGTAAGTTTTACTTTCTCCAATTGGCCATTCTGGCGCCATATTGAGAGTTATATCATCTGCAATAGACTTTATTTATGAATGTTTTTTCAGGATATATGCCCTTTTCTTAGAGGTTTCAACATATGATTATTATTATAATAGAAAAGGAGGCGCTAAACCTACGAAGGTCATATAGCACTTCAATATATGAATATTGATGGATTATTATTATTATTATAATCAAAAAGAAGCGCTAAGCCACAAGGACTATACAGCGAATATTGATGGAAAGGACCCCAAAGGAAATAACTCACTTTGTCTGACTTTTTCAGGTCATCCTGGGTAATCTACACATATGCTGCTATGTATGGTAACGTATATAACTGTATTTATGTGTACCTGTACCTGAATAAACTTACTTAATGAATTTCAAGTTTCTTCTTGTTATTGTTATTGTTGGGGTTAATAAGGGCCACTAAAGCGTACTATTTATTGAGCTCTGCCTCCCAGGAGTCCAGCAAAGTTATGTTACCCAAATATGTAGTGTAAGTTTGTTCAGGTATAGGCACACATAAATAAAGTTACATAGATTATCATACATACCAGCATATGTGTAATTACCTAGATTATTATTATAATAAAAAAGAAGCGCTAAATCTACAAGTAATTACCTAGAACAACCCCAAAAGGTCTAAGTGACTTATTTCCATTGGTGTCCTTGTTATGGAAATTATAAATATTCATGGAGAGCACTAAACCCATAGGGGTCATACAGTGTCTTGAGTAATGGAAGGCATTCAGGCTTGATTCAAGGAATTGGTGCATTGATCTAATTCCTTCGATCATGTCTCATCAACATCAAGGAACCTTCTTTGAGGGGGAGATTATTATTAGTATATAATTATAATCATGGGGAGCATTAAACCCGTAGGATTGTACAGCACCTGTGGGGAGAGGGATGGAAGGTATTCAGACTCAATTTAGGGAACTGAAGCACAGATCCAATTCCCTAGATCAAGAGCTCCTCACCAGCATCAAACATCCCTTCTTTTCCCTAAACCTTGGAAGAGTAAGAAGCCCCACTCACTCCTACTTACTAATTTGAGTTACCAACAACTGGCTATACTCCGGCCTAAGAGGAACTGATGAATGGTGCACCTGATCAACTTAATGCATGATGACGATGACACACGTCCTAGGGAGAGAAAAATGTTAGAAATTATGTGGGGATTTTTTTTCACAAGAACACAATCTCGAATTATTTTTCCTCAAATCATCTTTCACCATTCTTCTCTGCATCGGACTGATGAAGCCACTGATTGGCAAAAGTTTTCCACAATCAAGATTAAAAAAGCGCTAAACATACAAGGGTCATACAGCACAGCAGGGCAGGGAAGGGTGCAGGGGTATTGGGTGACAAGAGGGATTATTATTAGGTCATGGAGTGCAATGGATAGTGCAGGGGTAGAGAGTAGCAAGAGATTGAGGTAGAAAGGGCTGAGAGGAGTGCTAGAGGCATTATCATCAAAGTTTGTGCAGTAAATCTGTTGCTGTCCCACAATAAGATACCCAAACTTATCAGTTCTCTAAATCATTTATATAATCCCTGAGGTATATTAATGGCCAGACCACTAGAACAACCCCTCCACCTCTCTCTGAATAGTACTTTTGTAACACCACACCTAATCTCCAAACTCTGAATTCTCTGCATAATATTCACACCACAGCCTCCAGCCTCCTCTTCAATGCAATATTTAAAATGCACATTTCACACTCACATGTGTTGGTACCATTGTATTCTTGTACATTCCCCTTTTTGTTCCATAAAGTTCTCTGTCTCCACAGATTCCTCAGTGGACCACTTTTTCTTCCCCTCAATTTTATGATTTACCTCATCTTTCAAAGACTCATCTGCCACCAAATCCACTCTCAAAATTGTTATTCTTTCCTTGTAATTTGATATTCAATCTTTCATCACCTATTTTTTTGTTATTCTCATTATCTTGCTCTTTCCTATGTTCACTTTTATTTTCTTAAATTCTCTACCAACTTTGCAATTGACTATTTTTAGTAAAAATTGGCTTATGTAGATGCAAAATTTTATATATATAAAGTTTTAATAATTTTTTGTGAGAGTTCTTGATTTTTGTATTGCACTTTTAGTTATCAGTATTATTATAGTCACAAAAAAAGTGCTTAACCCACATGGGTCATTTAACACTGCCTAAACATTCATATTAGCTAGTCATTACACTATTATATTCATATTTTAGGCTTTCACAAAAAAATATGCCAAACATGTGGGTCAATAATAGCTAGTGTACAGACTATTTACACAGGCTGTCATCACCCATCTAAACTGAGACATATTTACTTTAGTAATTAGTTAGTATACTATGTTTGAGTAGTGCATAACTGGACAATGAATACTTAGTAAACTAGATAAGCAAAATACCTGACAACACATGAGCAATTATATTCATATTTTAGGCTTTCACAAAAAAATATGCCAAACATGTGGGTCAATAATAGCTAGTGTACAGACTATTTACACAGGCTGTCATCACCCATCTAAACTGAGACATATTTACTTTAGTAATTAGTTAGTATACTATGTTTGAGTAGTGCATAACTGGACAATGAATACTTAGTAAACTAGATAAGCAAAATACCTGACAACACATGAGCAATTCAGACAAGGTATTTATCAGAAAACAGAAACAATCTGTGCAAATCATATGACTGAAGCAGGTATTATAAAAATTTAATAAATTTCATAAACATAATGTACTGTATACTATATTTAAAATGTCAATACTGTATTACACTCTGTATTACAGTATTGATATAAAAGCACAGCAGTATTTATCACTACCTTAAGTACTGCTTACATCACTTCACACCAAAATTATTGCTTATTAGTCTTAGGAAAGTGAAAGACCAATGAAGAGCTGCCTTCTGTTTGCTTACAAAATTACATATCTGTTTGTAAATGTTATTACACCCTGTGCACTTACATAGTTAACCTGCATAATTTGTACAATGTTATCAGGATATCCAAGTGGTTGTTCTCCACACTAGCAAATATGAGTAAACACACTCTTTTTGATGACTTCTCCATCACTTGCATTACTTATTATATTCATGGGGAAGCAGTTACACCCATATGGTCAAACAGTGCTTGGGGAATGGGAAGTAATCAGGTTTAATTTGAGGAAGAGAACAGTAGCCTATTCCCTTGGATCTACAGCCCCCTCAATGGCATCAAAGCATCAACTTGCAGGGAGGTCAAAATTTGCAACATATCATGTACTGATGACTCAACATAATGACATAGCCATACATACAGTGTAACATACAAAGGGTAATTTTGAGGTTTATAGTTATAGTTGTGTCATTTATAATTTATGTACATTCCAGTAACTTGATTTGCCTCTTGGCCAGGTACTGCTGAGGTACTACAGCATTCCTATTTATTAAGACATACCTCATTAAATATGCACAGTAACACAGTACTAAATTTTTGAAGTCAGTGTCAAAGGTTATGTAATAAATTTATTAAAGATAAAATTGTTTAGCATGTTAAAATAAAACTCTCATCAACATAATTAGTCTTCCAATTTAGATGTGTAAGGACTTTTTGTGGGAAAATAAATACTGAAGCCACAAATACATATCATAGTTAAACAGTCCAAGGTATTTAGTTTGTTGTATGTCATTAGTGACTAATCTGCTTCTCTAGAGAATTTTAGTTTATGAAACAAATATCAGAAATGACCACATTATTTATATCATTCTCTTAGAAACATATATGCAGAACATTAATATATGTGACAGTTTGGAGTTTTGAGACTCTCTGATTGAGGGTTTTAACCCCACCCGTGGTATGGTTTATTAACATACTGCACATTATACTGTAGAAAACATATTTCATATTGATTTTAAAATACAATTTACTACATACAGGTTAATGCACCACATCCTGTACTTCCAGTCTTAATATTTACACCAATATTCATGATTAATCATAAATGGCAAATTTAAGAATGTGCACTATGAATGATTTATTTCAATATTTTAGCCCTGATAACATTCAAAATGTAAAGTTTTACTTTTACAGTTCTCACTGAATTACCTAAGCTCTTGATAGCATTTATTGACTAAACACTAAAAATGTGACAAAAGCTGTTAATGCTACACAGGTAATCCTTAATCCTACAAAATAGAGCAACATTTTATCACTGATATGGTCACACTTAAAGTTAACACTATTGTACCTGAGTACCTACACTGACAAACAGTATTTTAAGTTTGTGTTAAGAGTAAAAATCCAAAATTCATTGCCACACTACACCAGGTAGTGTTTGGTGGTCTGCCCAGCAGCCACAAAAGGCATTATCAAACATTTATATAAAATATTTAACACTCAATCTACTCAAATTTCTCATAATATAATTTTGCTAAACATGTATTCAACTATTGCTCAAATTATTTGTGCAGTTTAACAGTGTGTGTTATTATGCTGAGCAATATTTATATTGAAGGGGATATATGATTTTTTTTAAGTGTTTATTATAATGTTATTACATACATCATGGTGGTTTTATTAAGTGTGCAATTCAGCTAATCCAGTTACAAGTACAGTTACATATATGAATTAAACCATTATTAATGCCTGCAATATCTGAAGAGTAATTTTCCAGGCAGTGCGAGTTTACCAATCTCTGACGTCTCAAGTGTAACACCATTGCTTTTGTTGCATCTGAAGAATTATGGGTGAATTGACTTTTATCTGTTAAGTTCCAGAATACAATAAATTCTTGCTGTTTACAAAAGTTACAATCCATACAATCACAGTGAACTGCGAAGTCTTGAACATCAAAACACTAATTCAGAGGAAAAAAATAGTAGTAAGGGACTGGAGCTCACAGAAAATCCCTAGCTCTCTCTCCAACTTTATAGATTACTTTTGACAACCAATAACTGGAGAACTGTCTAGAATCTACTTTGAATTCCAAGCATGAGAAAGAAAGGGCGAGTGAGAAAGGAGACAAGCAAAAGACGGGCGAGTTAGAGGGAAGGGACTGCCAAGTGAAAGGGCGAGTGAAAGCGATGGGGCTGAGAGTACAAATGAACATATGTGAGGAAAGGTGAGCAAGTATATAAACAAAACAATGTTCTAAAGCATATCTTCATTAAGCTGTTCAAAATTTTGCAGTAAAAACTGAGCAAAAACTTCAAAATGTGTTTTGGGAAAAAACAGTGTATGTATGGTAATGATTGTTTATAAATTTGTGTTAAATTATAGCAAAATATTATTATATACAGTAAGTTTAAGGACAAAATTCATTACTTCACATCCTCCCCATTTGATTTATGTGGTGTTAATAAGTGTAAACAGTCACCATAACACCACACAACAATGTCACTACTTGTGAGAAACTCTTGTATATTTCATAATTATTTATATTTTATAAAGTGACATACATTTCTAACAATAATTCTTTTATTATAATACAATATTTATTGATTTTTTTGTATTAATTTCTTGAAAAATTAATAATTTGTATAGTCTACCATGTAAATTACAGAAAATTAAGAATGTGTTTTAGCAATTCTTGACTGCAATGCATCAAGGATCCGAACAGCAAAATGGTATGCAAAATTAAATTGCAGTTTATTGAAAAAAATAATGAAAAACAATTGACAATTCCCAGAACCATTAATGGATACATAATCATGAATCTGGATTAGAAATCTTAGACAACTTATCCATGATACATGGTGCAACAATCAGAGCTAGCACCAAGGTTAGGAACTTCCTGTACTGCAGATATGTTACGTACTGAGCTCTTACTCTCAATATCCATACCAGTCCCTTCTATGGTACTTTGAAGACTTCAGTAGCATTTAATTCTGAAGCCATTGCTATACAGTAGGCACTTGTTCCCTTGATAAAGTATTAAGTACTTTTTAAAGCTTGACACTTATGAAGGCTTATGGCATTATTAGGGAACATATGTAATCACTATATTAGTTATGCTAAAGTAAGCACTTAACTATAGCTTAGAAATCTTCTTTACCTACATTAAATTGTAACTCAAGTTAATTTAAATCATCTCTCATGTAACATATGCTTTTAAGCTGCATGTCTAACAGATAATGCAAGCAAAATCTTTCCCAAAGATTCCAGTTGCCTGATAAGTTCAAGTCAGTTCCTGACCAGCAGGTCTGTGGTTTCTATACTGGACTTCATGTGGCCATCACCAACAATCTGACTGATCAGGTTGTCAACCAGGAGGCCTGGTCTGAGACTAGCCCATAGGGGCAGTGACCCTAGGAACTGTTTACAGCTAATCTACTCCCATTTTGGTTTTAAGTATCCTTAAGTTAACATACTTAAAATTCATGAGCAGCACTGAATGATCCCTAACAGCTAAGCACTTCTGTCATTATCATTATTTAAATTCATGGAGAATTCAGTGGGTTAGTACAACTTTCACAATAAGTGAAGCAAGTGTCATCTAATGTCTAAAAAATATGCAAACCATGAATGACATAAAAACAAAAGCACTATCACAGGCTTGGATCTATAATGAAGATCTTAGCAAGTTCACAGAATAATCCGATTCTCTATATAAAAATATGCATGTTATTTAACAAACAGCTTTTTATACAAATTTTGCAACTTTAATACTCATTCCCCTTGTTAGCATAGCAATATTAAAATACTAACAAAGGGAGCATACTCAACAGTATAAAAAGACTGATGGCACTTGACCTGAATACAAATATAACTCTGTTGTCATACAAATGCTGAGAAGCATTTAATATACAAAGTAAATCAGGTAATGTACTGTTACAATGCTTTATTAAAAATTCTGAAAGGAAGCTTAACCATTTCATACCTTTTGCATACAAATGTACAATCTTTTATAGAATTCTTGAAAGACTTCACAAAAGGCAGAAAGAAAAGGCACTTCTTAACATAAAAATATGTCAAGGTTTTAGAACGTTAAAAAAAAATTTGTTTTGATTTCATTCTCCTGATTTATATTGCAAGAAGAATCTATTATTCAGTGTATCATGCACTATAGTAAATACACATTCTTCTCATACTCATACAAATGAGATATAAACTATACAATCATTATTTTTCACCACAGACTAAAGTTTAAGGCTCATGTTTCACAGGATATATTATTAACACTTCTTGCTTTGAGTAAGACACAAGATACATTGTTGTATTATGCTGAAAATTATCTGCTATTGAAAAAATCACATTACCTGGCAGTAGTAAATTTCTGAGGATAGTTGAATTACAAAGTAATGTAATATCTCAGCTTTTATATAATTTCTTGCTGAAAGAAAGAATATCTTTCTCGGCCAAAAAAAAAAAAAAAAACAGAGCTAGAAGCGAGGTAAAGGATTGCTCTTGGCATATTGTATTTACTACTGTAAGCATTGGTTGCTTACCTTAGCACCTTTGAAAATTCTGTTTGTAAATGGCAAACACAGTTTGATATGTATTTTTCACTCTTAGTAAAATATACAAAACTGTCAGCAACAGTCACTCATCTGGTTCATTCCAGATCTCTGTTATTCATTGGAAACCAACATTTGTTTTTGCTGATTTTTTTTGTAACAGTCAAAATATATTTTTTTCTATAACATCTCTTTGTAAACATTGTGATGTATCATTCAAAAGTTTTATTTCCAAAATATGAAGGTTCACAATTTGATCAATATCACAATGTATCATGCTTCATATTTCAGATTTGGTTACAAATTCAACAAATATCAATAAATTTTGTAAATTCAAAATTTAATATAGAGCACAAGGGCTCCATACAATTTAACAAATATAGAGATGTAGAAAAAAAAGAAAGCAGTGATGCAGCACTTCATTAGGTGTGCAAAATTGCTTCAATAAAACATCTCTCTCCACATGCTTTATTACCAACAAGCAACTGTAATGTTGCTACTGCAAATATTTCCACCAGTAATAGCTAGACAATGGACGGATGAGTTTTGATCAGGCACTTGATAAAGATAAAACAAGACTAAAGAATAATGAAAAAATCTATAGGTAACACAGTTACAATAGAATCCAGGCACTAAATACAAGACGAAAATCTTTATATAGTGTAATTTTCATTTAATATAAACTTAAAACTAATGGAATACTGACAATGTACTTAAAGTATTTAAAAAATATATAAAAATCTGTCATTATTGACTAGTGTGTACAATACACCAAAACACATACAATGTACTGCATTTCCTTAATGAATCATATAAACTAGAGAATAAATAAAGGTAATCAGGAAGCTTCCTGAACTCAATCTCCACTACTAATAATAAAAGTCAGCTGCCCAATCTTTCAATCTCCATAGACCAAGATTTCTCCTCACCAGCTCAGCTGAAACTTCCAGATGAAGGCTAACACTTCCCTGGATACACTGCTAATGCTTTCAACAATGACTGGCAATTAAAAACACCCAAATGAGGGGCCCAGAATGCCACTGGGAACATCAGGTTCTTTTCACCTGTGCAGCTTCACCAAAATAGTAGCACTTTAATTCCTCATCTGAAAGAGACAGATAAATTTTTATTTAGTTTTGTGATTATTCTACACAAGAAATGATTCCACTTAAGTTTATTAACTTAATTAGGGTAATATACTTCACAAAAATCAGTATGGATGACAAAGATTTGTGGATGATAATAATGATCAAGCTTGAAAAGGAGCTAAAATTAAGCATATAGTATTCAGTTTTATTTTTTAACATGGCCATTTTCCACCAAGGCAGGGTGACCCAAAGAAGGTAACCACGTTTCACCACCATTCATCCTTTAGCTGTCTTTTTTAAAAACAAATGGACATAAAAATTATAATGATGCAGAGAGCTACCAGCTATCATTAACAGTGCAAGCATTGTACTTCCTTCTTTCAGAACCGAAGTCCTCTTAACCAGTTTCCCCCTGAATTCCTTCATAAGATATTATTATGATTACACTCTAACAGCATATCAAATCCCAAGTCATTTACTGTACCTTTGCCTGCAGTAACATAATTTGCTCATACATGCTTACTGGATGCACAAACTCCTACATCTCAAAAACTTTTTTTCACCTCTTCCTCCCAATTCTTCATGGGATGTCCCTTTGACCTTCCATCCACTCCAGTTATACATATCCATGGTCACCCTATCTTTCTAAATAACCAAATCATCTTATAAAATCCTCCTGTTTTATGAATAATTGCTTAGCCCCTTGACTGTCGAAACCCCAAATCCTGAAGTGTCTTCTTGTGTTGAAAAATTTTTGAAAAATAAAAAAAAAAAATTTTCTTATGAAATGACAGAGAATCTTTTCCTGATGGTAATGACACCAAAAGAACGAAATCTGATGGAAAACTTACAGAATTACGCTCTCGCGAAGTTAGCGACCTTGGCGATATTTATGAATCAGTGATTTCGCCCACTTTGAGCCCTATTTTTGGCTAATTCTATTGTTTCAGTCGACCAAACTCATAGCTATTGCTTTAGAACTCCATTTGATCTATCTATTGAGTACAAGAAACTGCCCATTTACCAATTTCAACTACCCAATAACGTGGTCAGAAATTTGCAATTTGCCCAATTTCACGCAAATAAAAAATACGACAATTTCAAAACAGGGTCCAGAATGAACAATGCAGACATTCCTGGCTCTAAAATAACATTGTCTTTGTTCATCAGTCATGTCTCCAGGCCCCTCTGATATTACTCTTCCTTTCTATTTTGAATTTTTATTCAAACAAAAAATAGAAGATTTACTGTTATGCAGACTACTGCAATATTGCAATAATTGTATAAATAATGTCAACCCATTCATGACTGCATATTAGAATGGCTAGTTGGACATTTATTGGACAATGAAATCATTTGTTTACTTTTTGAACATCGGCAAAAATCAAGCATTTCCCCTACTTTGAACTCCATTTCAAGGTTTTTTTCTTAGTAAAACCAATCAAAATCACCTCTATTTCTATAATATGTTTGCCATTCTATCAAATGAGACCAAGAAAACGAGAATACAACCACAAAATTGGCGTTTTAATCCAAAAAAAAGTCGGATTTTTTTTTCTCATTATGCACTGCATGCTGCAGGATTTTTTTATATAGTGCACACTGACCACAGAGACCCATTCTCTCACATGTGGGCCTACTAGCTTTCTCCTGCTTGATTTGAAGCTGCTAGAATTTTTGAGTATATATACGTCAAACACGGTGGCCCATAAGACTTATATATACGACCGAAACAGTCAAAAGGTTAATATTACAAAAGAGGTATTAATGATACACAACTGTCATTACAACTATTATAAGCCCCAAAAAAAGGCATGTGGATATTTTTTTTATTTTCATAAACAGTAAAGAGCAGTGTATACTACTGCATGATCTTTTTACAAAACCTTAGAGAGGACTATTAGTTGATTAATAAAAGCCTGGATTGATGCCATAAATTTTTAAATGCACAGTGTATACTATACTGCATATTTACAATTATAATCATACACCAAATTTATAGCTTTCCATGTTCACATGCTTCAATTATAGTTCTTTTTTTTTTATTCATGGGCCTCCCACAAACAGCTATAATTATTCTTGCTTATTTTTTTTTTTTAGTATAGTAGTTCCCTTTTTTTTTCACATAATCCAGAAACCAAAAGAAATCACTGAAATCATTTAAAATTTAAAATCATTTACTGGATTTATTACACTTAAATTTCTTTTCTGTTGAGATTTTTCCATATAAATGGATGTTAAAGCAATATTTTGGAGAAAATATTGCCCACATGTCAAACAAAACTTCTAGACAAAATTTTGTGGTATTTCGAGATTCTGGATATTTAGAGATTCTGGATCTCTAGGTCCTGACTGTCACAAAATGTACGGTTCGGCTGTGTATGTGTTTAATTTATTAGTAATGATTAAACTGCAAAAAATCATGAAGCATCTTCCTCCTATAAGAGATACCTGCATATAAGAAAAACTGTGAATTAAATGGATAGTGTACAAATATTATTACCTGCAACAGTATGTTGTTGGCTTCTCTGGTGGATCTTCAGGAGCCAGAGTTCGGATCACAGGTATTGTGGTTTGGGAGTTTGATCTTACTTCCAAAATGCGACCAACAAGCCACTTCATAGCATCACCTAAATTTAAAGAAAAAAGTCATGATAAATAAACCATCAGTAAAGAAAATAAGACATTAAATAATCCATGTATAGAGATATATGTAACTGCATTTTTCAAAAAGCTGGATTTCTTCAGATATATCATTTTTAGTTATAAGGACTCATGATGGTTACATAACCATATTGCTGAAATCATATATTTAAGAATGTAGCCTCATGCTAGTAATCAAAACTGAACATTTATCTTAGAGGATCATATTTATGGAAAAATAAGCTTTCATATGAACCATGAATTATGTAATTGTGGTTAGTACTGCACTGTATAAGAATACAATAGTACAAAGTTACTAATCTTGTTTTGCAATATCAATACAATCAAAAAGTTACTCTTTCTGCTTTTTTATCACAAGCTTCTCCCAAAACATTATCAGTAATGCAGACTCGCCTATATTAATATCTTCTTTGGCTGATGTGAGGAACCATGCATCAATATGATATTGCTTGCAGAAGTTGGAGATGACCTCAGGTTGTATGCTGATTGTATCTATGTCACACTTGTTGGCCAACAGAAGCACTGGAAGAGGTCGGCCATCTCCCAGAGTCACCTTTTCACGAATATCACTGACCCACTGCAATTAAATATTGCTTTCAGAATGAACTTACAAGTACTGTACTACAAGATTAAATTACATATTCTTTAAGGAGCATGTAAATGAGGGTAAGTTAATTAAACAAGATGTTATTCTGAAATTGAAATCTAAGCAAATTTTAAAAGTAATGTGCCTCAAAGCTGCAGCCTTCATGACCCAGTTTCTCTTACAAGTACAGTAACACAATAAAAAACAATGATGATTCTATTTTGCAACACTTACCCCCATCCATGTACACTGCTCTTTCCATTCTTTTTCATCATCATTTTCCTCTTAATCGAGCATTTCCTTCTACCTGTTTCCTTTCATTCACACTTGCAAATGCTTTTTAAGGCAATAATCCCCTTAACAAATAAATTTATAAGGCAATCCTTGCTCTTATCTCAGTGAATACAAATAATTTAACCAGCATGAGAATTTCTTCAGCAAATATTTCAAGTGCTTTGAGAACTTATTGTCTGGATTGTAAAAAAAAAAAAAGTAAAATTATCAGAGGTTAATTCTATTACAAACTTTTATTGTTTTTATTTCTGATGCTTAATTTCTTAAGGGACTGCCCTTTCTTGAGGTGACGGATTTTGGTAAATCTCCTTATAATTCAACTGTTTTCAGTTCCCTTATCAAAGACATAACACATGAAGACATATGTACTTTTAACGGAAAAATTCAACACAAGGTCACACTCTCAACAGTGTCCATAAAGAGAATAAGCCTTCAAAATTGATATACTGGTAAATACTAATACAAATTAATGATTTTTTTAATTTAAATATTTGCCAGTACTGTTTTATACTGACACTTCCTAGAATTCATCTAAGAATACATGAAGAAAATCCAGCATAACCTTTGCAAGTCATTAATTTAATGTGAATTTAATGTCAATAAGGGTTAATATCAGCTGGTGTAACAAACATCTCAAGTAGCAGACTACTCATTCAAAATGACTCACGAAATCGTAATGACACGATTGCAAACAAACCATACCACGGGTGGGGTTTGAACCCGCGGTCAGAGTGTCTCAGAACTCCAGACCGTCGCGTTAGCCACTGGGCCAGCTAGCTTCAACAAGATTCATCCAACTAGGTATATTTCTACACCATAGGAAGGTTAGCATAGGCACCACTGCGTCCACAAATGCAAGTTTTTTACAGACGAATCTCCCGCTAGCATGGCCATGACAAACTCTAGCTCAAGTCCCCTCAAAGCCGTCAACATGACTCACTTCACGGCCATGCTAGCGGAAGATTCGTCTATAAAAAACTTGCATTTGTGGACACAGTGGTGCCTATGCTAACCTTCCTATGGTGTAGAAATATACCTAGATTCTGGATGAATCTTATTGAAGCTAGCTGGCCCAGTGGCTAACGCAATGGTCTGGAGTTTTGAGACTCTCTGACCGCGGGTTCAAACCCCGCTTGTGGTATGGTTTACTCATTCAATATGAATGAGCAGTAAACTTCCATCTCTATAATAAAAGTTGTTCATCATTCATAAGCTCACTAATCATAACCCTCAAGTTTGATTGAATAAATATTATAATAACCTTGAGAACTGCATCAAATGTTGGGGGTCTTGAGAGATCAAACACAACAATAGCTGCTACTCTGTAAACAAAAAAAAAAAAAAAAAAAAGAATGTAACAATACTATAAAATCTCTAAAGTAGAATACTACTCCTCATTTTCAGTCATAAATATGTTATTAAGAGTGAAAAACAACTTAAAGATATGCACTACAGTACTCTGTACTGTATTTCCAGCACTGGAGCAAGTGAAAATGTTATTTTTTTCTAAAACTGCATTCTGACTTGACTAATAAGAAACTATGAGAAATGGATAAATATTTACTAATGGCTAGTAATTTTGCAACTGCTTTACAAAACACAGATGTGTTTAAAGTGTATAAATTCTGTACAGTACTTATTTTTCTTCACGGGTCTCATGCAGCACACAGAAAACCACAAACATGTTTTGGTGTAAATGGAAAACTAAGAACTAATTGAACTATCCAATTACAGCTAAAAATTAACATTTAGATAAATAATACAGCACAGGAACTGTGATAAGTAAAGCTTCTAAAAATGTAAAATTATTAAATTTAAAAATACTTACGCATATTTGTAGTATACGCGAGTCATGTGGCCAAATCTCTCATGTCCAGCAATGTCCCTAAAAAAAAAGCATATATAGTAGGTTAAATAAAAGAAACATATGCTAATGGTAAGTCTGAACTGGCTGGGATATGGGAGGTATAGTAACTGAAACTGATCCAAAAAAGGAAACAGTTCCAATTCCTTGAGCTTGAAAATTTAATTAATACGTATTTAGAAATATCATTTATAAGACTTCAAACAATTTCGATATGTATATATCTATATGCTGTACGTATTACATAATACACATATTTTTTATTATTTATTATTTATTATCACACTGGCCGATTCCCACCAAGGCAGGGTGGCCCGAAAAAGAAAAACTTTCACCATCATTCACTCCATCACTGTCTTGCCAGAAGGGTGCTTTACACTACAGTTTTTAAACTGCAACATTAGCACCCCTCCTTCAGTGCAGGCACTGTACTTCCCATCTCCAGGACTCAAGTCCGGCCTGCCGGTTTCCCTGAACCCCTTCATAAATGTTACTTTGCTCACACTCCAACAGCACGTCAAGTATTAACCCTTTGAGGGTTTTGGTCGTACTAGTACGTTTTACGCGTAGGGGTTTTTGACGTACTAGTACTCATAAATTCTAGCGGCCTCAAATCTAGTGGGAGAAAGCTGGTAGGCCTTCATATTGAAAGAATGGGTCTATGTGGTCAGTGTGCACAGTCTAAAAAAAATCCTGCAGCACAGTGCATAATGAGAAAAAAAAAACTTCGACCATTTTTTTTTAATAAATCAGCGACTTTGCAGTGTATTTTCGTATGGTATTTATTGTTGTATTCTAGTTTTCTTGGTCTCATTTTATAGAATGGAAGACATATTACAGAAATTGAGATGATTTTGACTGGTTTTACAATGAAAGGTGCCTTGAAATTGAGCTCAAAGTAGCAGAAATGTTCGATTTTTACCAAACTTCAAAAGTAAACAAATCGTGCCAAGCGTGCAATACACATCAACTGGTGAGTCTAATATTCTTTTACAAGTGCACCAATAATATTTATACCATTTTTTACACTAATGCAGTAGTCTGCATAACAGTAAATCTTATATTTTTTGTGAGAATAAAAATTCAAAGTGGAAAGCAAAAGAATATAAGAGGGGCCTTGAGACGTGACTAATGACTAGAGGAAATGTCATTTTAGTGCCAGGAATGTCTTTCTTGTTTATTCTGGACCCTATTCGGAAATTGGCATCTTTTGAAATTTGTGTGAAATTGGCAAAATTGCTAAATTCTGACCACTGTACTGGATAGTTGAATTTCTAAATGGGTGGTTTCTTGCACCCATTCGATAGAAAAAATGGAGTTCTAGCGAAATATGCATGTTTTTTGTCGACTAGTACAGTGAAATTGGCCGAAAATGGGGCTCAAAGTGGGCAAAATCGCCGATGCGTAAACATCGCCGAGACCGCTAACTTTGCGAGAGCATAATTCCGTAAGTTTTCTATCAAATTTCAAACTTTTGGTGTCTTTATGATCGGGAAAAGATTCTCTATCTTTTCATAAGAGAAAATAATTTTTTTTTTTTTTTAAATTTGGCCGACCCTGAGAACGAGTTTCGGAGAGGGCCTGTCGACCCTCAAAGGGTTAAAAACCATTTGTCTCCATTCACTCATATCAAACACGCTCACGCATGCCTGCTGGAAGTCCAAGCCCCTCGCACACAAAACCTCCTTTACCCCCTCCCTCCAACCTTTCCTAGGCCGACCCCTACCCCGCCTTCCTTCCACCACAGACTGATACACTCCTGAAGTCACTCTGTTTCACTCCATTCTCTCTACATGTCTGAACCACCTCAACAACCCTTCCTCAGCCCTCTGGACAACAGTTTTGGTAATCCCACACCTCCTACTAACTTCCAAACTACGAATTCTCTGCATTATATTCACACCACACATTGCCCTCAGACATGACATCTCCACTGCCTCCAACCTTCTCCTCGCTGCAACATTCATCACCCATGCTTCACACCCATATAAGAGCGTTGGTAAAACTATACTCTCATACATTCCCCTCTTTGCCTCCAAGGACAAAGTTCTTTGTCTCCACAGACTCCTAAGTGCACCACTCACCCTTTTCCCCTCATCAGTTCTATGATTCACCTCATCTTTCATAGACCTATCCGCTGACACGTCCACTCCCAAATATCTGAATACATTCACCTCCTCCATACTCTCTCCCTCCAATCTGATATCCAATCTTTCATCACCTAATCTTTTTGTTATCCTCATAACCTTACTCTTTCCTGTATTCACTTTTAATTTTCTTCTTTTGCACACCCTACCAAATTCATCCACCAATCTCTGCAACTTCTCTTCAGAATCTCCCAAGAGCAAAGTGTCATCAGCAAAGAGCAACTGTGACAACTCCCACTTTATGTGTGATTCTTTATCTTTTAACTCCACGCCTCTTGCCAAGACCCTCGCATTTACTTCTCTTACAACCCCATCTATAAATATATTAAACAACCACGGTGACATCACACATCCTTGTCTAAGGCCTACTTTTACTTGGAAATAATTTCCCTCTTTCCTACATACTCTAACTTGAGCCTCACTATCCTCGTAAAAACTCTTCACTGCTTTCAGTAACCTACCTCCTACACCATACACTTGCAACATCTGCCACATTGCCCCCCTATCCACCCTGTCATATGCCTTTTCCAAATCCATAAATGCCACAAAGACCTCTTTAGCCTTATCTAAATACTGTTCACTTATATGTTTCACTGTAAACACATATACATGGATGAAATCAATACTGTATTAGTATAACAATTATAATTTCTCCACTAAAATTAGTCTACCAACAGAGCTCAACTCAAGCTGAAAAAAATGGGCACAAACCAAAGCTGGACGGTGACTTTAGTTTTAGCATCCCAGTCCAAGGTTTTAACTGCAAAATCCACTCCAATAGTCAGCTTGTAGTATGGACTGAAGTGACCTTCTGTGTAGCGTCGAATCACAGCTGTCTTACCTGTCAAGTACACGAGGATATTAGAAGTCAAAGTCATGTTAATATTTATGAAAAACATGTTACATATATGCAAAAGGGAGAAATGGGAGAGGGGGAGAAAATGAGGGGGAAGGGGTGACAATGAGACAAAATGGATAGCAAAAAGGCATAAAATAAAGAGAGAGAGAAAACACAGTAAGAGGAAAGAGATGGAGAAAGTGAGAGAGAGACTGGGACAGTGAGGAGAGAGAGAGGGTGGGGGAGAGATAAAGAGTGGGAGTAAGAGAAAAAGGGTTAGATAGAGAAAGAAAGAAAAAAGGGAAGAGGGAGAAAGAGATATAGAAGCAGAGAAGCAGATAGAAATGAAGATAAAAAAAGAATTGAAGAAAGATAAAGAGAAAGTGGATATGGGGAACAAAGGGAAGATAGTAATGGAGAAACTGAGAAAGGCAGGAAAAGGAAAAGTTACATTAATTAACTGGGCACTAAAGGAGTGGCAGTGTTCCTATCAAAACATTTGTGGAAACAGATTATGGAGAGGAAAAACAGCTGTGTGAAAGGAAACTCCTATATTACCTATAAGCAATAAAATCATTAGATAACTCTCTCAAAAGAATAATAATAAAAACAGGAAAAAATTAAAAGGTCTCCATGGCAAGCATCTTATTGACACTTTTTTATTAGAAGATTATTTGTGGAGTGGTTTGCATTTTCTAAAATCTATTTTGTCTATTAATTTTTGGTATGGAATGGAGAAGATACATTTACACCAAACTTTGAGTATGAAAGTATAGGTAGCCAGAATGTTTGTAAACAGTATGTGTTTTTCATTTACCTGTCTTATTAACCATATGGTGAATGCCTTTTCTCAAAAATCTATTGGATTTATACTCAAATGTACATTATGAAGTATTTGGTTGTTTTAAAGAGCATTTTGAAAGCAATGAACATAATATATAAGACTATATTCTTCTTTAAACTAACCATAATGTGCAGTATATAATGAAAAATTTAAAGAAATAAACCAGTTACATTTATAGTCAAATTTAAGACATATTGTTTTATCTCTTTATTATACTGCCTACATAATTATTGTAGAACATTAAATATGTACAGCAGCCATATACTATTATTCTTTCAGTTTCAATAATATCAGTTTTTATATGTGAATTTATCAATTTAACTAAATTAAAATTAATCACCATTAATCAATCCAACAGACATTGTGTCATTAATAAAGGATAATAAAAAATCGCTATTTTTTTTAAAGTAAAGCTCTTGGTCTTACATTTTTAACTAACAGAACACTTTATTTTTTTAAATTAAAGCTTTTATGTTGCAATTATTTTGTGAATATTTGGGATATTATATTGAAAGTACCAATCACAGTAGTTTATAATCTTTTTCAGTGGATAATGCATGATAAAATAAAATCTGGGCATATTTCAGTCTAACAAAAAACAATTAATCGAGCCTTTATTACAAGGAATTACTTCGGCACACCAGTTAACATCACCTAACAGAACTATATTTCTCAACTTTGTATATTATGTGCTTACTGAGGTAATACAAACACACTCTCAATACTCATTCTCAAGATAGATGAAAAAGTATTTTCTCAATCCTGACTGTCGCCACATTTTTTTTTGTATTTTCCAGGTATACACCTTAATTGTTACGATAATATGCCGCTGACTCACCGACGCCAAACTCTCCAATAACGAGGACCTTAAATTGTAGCTCCCTAGGTACTGTGCTGTGCTCAACGGGGGCCACGGCGGTCATCTTGGCACCTTGTTACTACGTCTGGAGCCTCCAACACCCGCGCATCACTAATCACCTTCCTGGAAATCCAGTCATGTGACGAATATTTACCTGCGTTCGCATTCTCGACGTCAACTTCCCGATACAAAGACTTTTCATTCCCCAGGGCGACCAAACCCACCCATTTATCCCCAGACAACTTTTTTTAACAGATCTAATAATGTTATTTTATTGTTTCTAATTAAGATCTGCTGTGTAGTTATTTTATAAAGACAATGTGCCAAAGTTGGAGGTGAGGGCACAAGATGGGACAATCTTTGTTTACGGTGGTCTCACCTGCGCGCATGCGCACTGCCTCCAGTCAGGTATCTGGCGAAATTTCGAAAGGAAATGAAAGGCATCAGAGTCGCTTTTCAATTATCCATTTTGTTTTGGCAATATTTTAATTCGCATGCTCGCACACGCTTATAGCTATCCATAATGATTCTAATTCGTAAAGATTATTTTCCATAATGAATAAATATATGTGAATATGTTTGTGGATGATGCAAAAATTCTACGCAAAATACGCAATATAAATGACTACATTCCTACACGACTGTTAAGTGAGCAAATAGTGACAAGCGGATCCACAAAAACCTCATGGAATTTAGTGTCGATAAATGTTAAGCCAGAAATGCAGTAACATGTGTTTTACCATCAACATTATATGCACCAGGGATATATAACAACAACTTAATAATAATAATAATAATAATAATAATAATAATAATAATAATAATAATAATAATAATAAATCTTTATTTCTACAAGTACATGTACAAATGACATCAATGACATACTACTATAATGCCCCTTGTAATGCAGAGCATTTCGGGCAAATTAGGTCAGTATTTTGCCCAGGATGCGACCCACACCAGTCGGGTAATACCCAGGTACCTATCTACTACTAGGTGAACATGAGCAGCAGGTGTTTTAAGGAAACACGTCCTAATGTTTCCATCCGTACCGGGAATCGAACCACAGACCTCAAAAACCTTCAAAACTAGGGACGCCAAGCCAATGATGATCCTCTTAAAATCGCTTGTTCTTTCTAGGCTGGAATACTGCTGTACACTAACTGCCCCCTTTAAAGCTGGAGACATTGCAGACCTGGAGAGTGTACAAAGAACTTTCACGGCACACTTAAGTACTTTAAAGCACCTAAATTACTGAAAACGGTTAAAGGTCCTTCATCTGTATTCCCTGAAACGCAGGCGAGAGATACATGATAATATACACTTGGAAGGTCATGGAGGGATTGGTACCAAACCTGCACACGAAAATCACTCCCTAGGAAAACAAAGACTCAGCAGATGTAACATTCCCCCGATGAAAAGCAGGGGTGCCTCAAGTACATTGAGAGAGAACACAGTAAGTGTCAGAGGCCCAAGACTGTGTAACTGCCTCCCAGCATACATAAGGGGGAATACCAATAGACCCCAGACCCCTGGCTGACTTCAAGAAGGCATTAAACAGGCACCTAAAGTCAGTACCTGACCAACCGGGCTGTGGTTAGTGCGTCAGTTCGCGTGCGACCAGCAGCAGCAGCCTGGTTGATCAGACCCTGATCCACCATGAGGCCTGGTCTCAGACCGAGCCGCGGAGGCGTTGACCCCCAAAACCCTCTCCAGGTACTCTACCATCTGATCATAAATCACCTAGGGCATTGTACCAGTAGAAATGAAAATACCAGTAGTAGTAGTGGTGGGGGGGGGGGGTAGTTATATCAAGTATCTTTATCACTTCTACTTCTACCTTAAGGAGAATTACATTGACTTCTGTCATCAAGAGGAAACTTGATATGTTCCTGAAACCTTAAATGAACTGCATACTGTTAGTACTAACAGCCTGAATGATCAGGCTATCAATCAAGAAGTCTAGTCTGGTACAAGGTTGTGGGGGCGGTGACCCCTAGAATTAATGTTAGATATTTTCCTGGAATATCAATGCATGACCATTTTTTACTTAGGGAACGAATACATAGCATACGTTTAAGACTTAAACTGGCCATGAGGACACAGAGATTATATACTAATACTAATATATAAATATTACATTGGCCTGGTGGCTAAAGCTCCCGCTTCACACACGGAGGGCCTGGCTTCGATTCCCGGCTGGTGGAAACATTTCGACACGTTTCCTTACACCTGTTGTCCTGTTCACCTAGCAGCAAATAGGTACCTGGGTGTTAGTCGACTGGTGTGGGTCGCATCCTGGGGGACAAGATTAAGGACCCCAATGGAAATAAGTTAGACAGTCCTCGATGACGCACTGACTTTCTTGGGTTATCCTGGGTGGCTAACCCTCCGGGGTTAAAAATCCGAACGAAATCTTATCTTATCTTATCTCTCTTAACTTAGGATGACCTAATCAAGTCAAACAATGACTTATTTCTGTTTTTTTCCTGTCATGGAAACTGTTTATGCACCTCATCCCAGACAGAATTAAAGGCAGCTAGACAGTGTCGTCAGCAGGGAGACTTGATGAGGTCTTTTTGGTCTGATATCTGCCTTTATCATGTACTAATCATGCTACTGAAGTGTCCCATATCAGGCTGATATATTTCAGTGCGTCATATAAAACACATCTCGTGTAACAGAACTTTATAAGGGCAAACAATTAACCTGTGATCCCATCATATAAATTTCAGAAAAAAACAATAGATGTATCTAATTTATCCAGAATCCGTACTTAGGGTTTTTGAGGCATTGTTACAGCCGCGGTACTGTTATTTTTTTTTATTATTCCTGATGTATTTAATTGTGGTAAATAGACAAATTAGCCGCTAAATTCCTCAAGCTGTCCGCCACTCCTATTATTTATTCATCACCATCATGTACTGACACCACAATAATAAAACCATATTTACGAGAGTCGTAATTATGGATTTTCATTCTGCAGCTGTTTCTAATAATCTTTTTGGTGCCCATTTAGGGGACTGTTTATTAGATAACTTTTTTTTAACTAAAGTAATAGAGTCACTACAATCTTTCATAAATCTATATTATCATATTTCCGATCTCCTGGATTTTTTTTTTTTTTTGAGATTATTCTGCTGTTGCAATTAAGAATATTGATTTATTTTCCACATAATATTAGTAAAGGCAGGCGTAACCTTCTGCGTGTCATAGAAAGAAGGAAAATGGCATAATAATAACACATAGTTGTAAGGGTATGGCAGCTGGCCAGGGTAGAGCAGAGTGCCCTGCCAACTTCAGTTGTGCCACACAGCCTCACCGTCTTCTCTTACACTTCATCTCCACAATTGTCGGTTCTCAGCCTACGAGTATTTCACGTCTGCATCCATGATGTTAAAAAACTAATTTTATTTTAACATTGGCATATGCATATGAACTGTGTATAGAAGAGCGACGGACTGTTGAACATACGGCTGAAAATATATAGTAAGGATGATTGATCGAGGCAACTCCTAGAAACGTCTAAAATATTGATAAAAGGCATCACAAGATCAACCTTATCTTCACAAAAGTGTCGTGCTACTATACAACATCTCGTTCAGTAATCAGAAGAAACCTCTGAAAAAACTGCGTATCTGTAAGAACAACTGATCATGCCGCCACATAAAGAAGTAAATACTCTCCAAGCATTCGCTAAGGATAAAGTACTCTACAATGTGTGTGCCGTCATTCTCGATGAGATTTACTTCGGTCAGGATGAAGACTGGGAAATCTACGGCCCTCCTGCCTTGTCTGTACGACTAGGGTTAGTGAGAGACGTCCTTAGCAGTTCTCTCAGTCCGGGGATTCTTGAGGACTTGCTCAACACTATCCTCTCGCGAGACGAAGCTGTAGAAGCCACTGTCAGATACCTCGCTATCCAACTTCTTCTTGTGGAAGGTGTGCGCAATTTAACGATTGGAAATTTCCCAGAATCTTATTTTGCACTAGTGTTGGAGGCAACAGCTAAGAGCGGTGCAGGCATCCAACAGCTTGATCTCCGTGGATTGTGGGTAAGGGATGAGCACAAATATGCTCTCATCAGGACACTGCGTAAGCTTTGTTGCATCAGACGACTGACATTGCGCTATTGTTGTGACGATGAGATGCTGGCTACATTGGGCAAGTACTGTGAAAACCTGCAGAAGCTGGACGTGTGTGGGTCACGGGCGATCACTGAGGCTGGTCTGAAGAACCTCTGTGATAATCCATCCCGTGTTGCCTGGGGTTATCTCACGGAAACTCTGCAGATTGTTGACCTGGGAGGACCCGGGGCCCAGGAACTGCCTCCTCAGCTCCCCAGCTACCTGTTGCTTAACCTCCCACATCTGGTTAGTCTCGGCTCATATGAACGAACAGGTGCTGCAGTTGAGCTTGCACTCCAGACGAAACCAAATAAGCAATTTGCCTTACGATATATGCATGACGTTTTCACCTCTGCCAGTCGATACCATGCCATCATTAAAGCTTGTCCCAAAATACAAGCTATTTATCTGGATAGCCCAAAGGACTCGGCCGTCCATTATTTAGATATGTTTCAGGACCTAAAAGAGGTAAAATTACACAAAGTGAGGTGGAGTGATCTGGAAATCGCTCTTAATAAAATGGGATCGCGTTTACGTAGCTTGTTTCTGTTAACAATGTTTGGTCAAGTTGATCTGTTAGACCTAGGGAGACTCTGCCCTAACTTACTTCGTCTTGAGATCCATCAAGCATCACTTGTATGTTCTGAAGTAGAACACCCCACTGCCTTCAGTAAAGTCCGTGAGCTGCTTATATACACAAGTCAGTTAAGTACGTTCTGCGTCAAGGTGTTGTTGAATCAATGTATCGCTCTTGAGCACCTGTGTCTGGGTGAGTGTGGTCAGCTGTCTGATGAAGCTATCATCGCCAGCCTCATGGACCATTCTCTGCAATACGTTCGAGAAATCTGGTTTGGTATAGCGGAGAACCTGACCATGCATACGATAGAAGCACTACTGGAACACTGCCCCCGTCTAATCAGTCTGGGTAACCTGGCCGCCTGGAGGGTTCATCCTGATGATATTGACCTGCTGAGAGTGCAGTTCCTCCTCACCAACACTGACCTCACTCTTCATGAGTTCGGCCCACAAGAGGATGAGTGGATACCAATGGTAGACGTTTGATGCATTAGTATTTTAGAGTGTATAACTTTGATGAGGTGACCTCAGTATCCCGTACGGCCAGCTTCCCTTACCTCAGTGCGCCCGAAAAGAATAATACAGGGTTTGACTTAAGTTTCTAATGTAGTTAAGAATCAGCACTGAAGATTTAAAGGAAGTAGAGACATTTCTAAAATATATCGACACTAAGTTTGAAGCTGCTCAGAAGTTGCAATCTCAAGTTACTGGCACTGAAGGTTTGAAACTCATGGGATGAAAAGCAGCGCTGTATAGCCCTTGTGGCTTAGCGCTTCTTTTTTATTATAATAATAATAATGGGATGAAAAAATCAGGCACCAGCTTAGAGGTACCATTATGGGGATATCTAATGGGTATAGAACTGTGGTGTGACCTATTCTGTTTTATTAAAGGAATACGGAAGTGTAAACTGAGTGCAGAACTGGTGTGACCTATTCTGTTTTATTTAAAGAACTGTAGAACTGTGATATGACCTAGTCTAGTATGTAAATGAGTGTGACACTGTAATGTGACCTAGTCTGTACTTGTCCTAGATCAGAATGCTTCTAAAGTGATGAATGATACACCATTAACTGGCACACCAGTTATCGCCACAGAAGAAAAGAGAGGCCACCAACTAAGAAGGGTATTTATATGTTAATACTAATTAACTTCAAGGAACCAAATGTGCTGCAACAATAAGTGTGATCCCTGTGGTTACTTCAATGCACTGGTGGAGTCAGTAAGTGTAATCTCGAAACCCATCCATTATTTTTATATTGTGAACCTTTTAAGTGAAATATATGGTTGCTGTTAGTTTAAGTTGGTTGAATAGGTTTATCCTGTACCCCATACTCATCCTGCGGACAGTGGTCATGGCTGCTGTATCACCAAAACTCATATAATTCTGAAAATTATAAAATATATTCTATTAGTATTCACAGTGTATCGTTGTAATTTTTTTTTTTACCTGAGAACTTCAAAAAGGCATTTAAACATTCCTTACACAAATTAGTTGGTATGATCACAAGAAAAATATTTTCCCAAGTTGAATTGTATGATTTCTCATTAAGAAACTATGTATAATCATATATGGTTGTAATATTAATAATAATATTATTATTATTACAGTATATTCTCAAAAATTAGTGCTTAAATTATGATTGCAATGAATTTTGATCTTGAATGATATGCTACACATACTGAGCTACAAGTTTAGTAATAAAACCAGCAATAAGATAGTTTGTTAAGTTTAGGGTTGACACCTACAGTGACTACATATTGGCCATTATGGCCACAATCCACCTATATACTCTGCTTTACTCTCTAAAATGGGAACTAAAATAAATATTCAGTATGTATATATATATACTGAATGATATAAATGTATGGTTGGTTGGTTGCATTTAAAGCCTATCACATGAGGATCATTACTGCTGCTAGAAGTGGCAGCAAGGGTGGGTGGCAAAGGGCACTTAAGCCTCCCCAAAAATTACATCAACTTTGCAAATCCATCCCCAAAATAATAATAATGCCACTTCAAGACAGTTCCCTAGCCTCCTCTTTTTTCCAACCAGATTCTCACCTTAAACCCCTCCTATATAATACTTCTAGAGGCTACATGTTCCCTTTATGTCAGTTAAGGATACCTTAATGTATAAAGTAGGCATTAAGGTAAACTTTTAAATGTATATTAACCCCTTGACTGTCGCAACCCCCAATCCTGAGGTGTCTCCTGGTGTCGCAAAATTTAAAAAAAAAAAAAAAAATTTCTTATGAAATGATAGAGAATCTTTTCCCGATTGTAATGACACCAAAAAACGAAATTTGATGGAAAACTGACGGAATTATGCTCTTGCGAAGTTAGCGACCTCGGCGCTGTTTACAAATCGGCGATTTTGCCCACTTTGAGCCCTATTTTCGGCTAATTCTGTTGTTCCAGTCGCCCAAACTCATAGCTATTTCTTTAGAACTCCATTTTTTCTATTGATTGAGTACAAGAAACTGCCCATTTACCGATTTCAACTACCTAATAATGTGGTCAGAAATTTGCATTATTATTATTATAATCAAAAAGAAGCGCTAAGCCACAAGGACTATACAGCGCTGCAGGGAGGACGGGCTGTGAGGGCCCCCCCCCCCCCCCCCCCCCCCCCCCCCATAGGTGGCAAAAGGGAGATGGAAATTGAGGCAACAGGTTACGGATAACAGCGGGGCAGTGGATGGTGAAAGGGTAAAGGGCAGCAAGAGACTGAACCAGAAAGGGCTGAGGGGAGTGCGAAAAGTATCATCAGAGTTTGTGGAGTAAATCGGTCGTTTGTCAAGAAGTCAATGAGAGAGTCAGGATTTAATGGAGGGTCCCATCAGCAGAAGGAAGGTAAAGGAGAGTAGTAGAACGAAGACGAGTTGGAGGTACAATTTGCGTGCTCGTTGATAAGAGGAGGGCACACACCGTCTAACAGAATGTGGCTAATCGATACTGGAACTTGACACTTGCTCACAGAGAGAACAGGGTGCCTCTCCATGAGATACCATGAGTAAGACGAGTGTGGCCAATGCGAAGGCGGGAGAGTGGTGGTTCTCCCAACTTCGGCACTGATGGACAAGAAGACGGCCAGTAAACCTATGCTCGGGTTTTATAGAATGAAGTTTGTTCCGAGCAGAGTTGACAAACGTTGTGCCATCGGGTGTGCGAAGGTGGGTAGCTATTGCAGCAAAAGTCCGAAATGGAACACCTCGATAGGAAATTGGTTAGGTCATATACGCTGACCGCGCAGCAGTGTCTGCCTGTTTCATTGCCCTGGTATGTCGGACATGACCAGGGGACCCAACAAAAAAACAATATCTTATGTTTGGTAGAGATTCGGCAGTAGCCAAAGTAGGATACGGAGAACTAGGGGATGAGATGTATCAAATTTTCGGTATAGCCTGTAGAGCACTAAGGGAGTCTGGAGACTACTACATATGATGACACTGCATAGGATGCAATACGAATAAGTGCTGCAAGAATGGCATACAGTTCAGCAGTAAAAATGCTTGCTGAAGATAGTAAATGCCCCTCGTACGACGCTGTCCGGAAAACTGCTGCGAATCCGGACGCCGTCTGAAGACTTTAGAGCCATCTGTGTAACAGCGGTGGCATGGAATGGGAGTGGAAGTGATCAAGGAAAAGAGACGCGCGAAGCCACGTAGGCAGTTGAGCTTTCGAGCAAGGGAGTGACGTGAGAAAGAACAGACCCGAAACAGCTGCTGGAACTTCCCAGCGGGGGCAGGGAAAAGTGAGATGCTACATTGAAACATATAAAGGTGGTAACTGAAGGGAAGACAAGAGTTGATGTAGGCGAAAGAGAAAAGGGTCGGAGCAAAACAGGGGCGGCGAACGAATAAAGATGTCTACTAATATCGGTGGGACCATTATATAAATGGAAAGGATTGTGTAGAGCGTTGAGAGCGTTACTAGTAACGAAGGCATTGGGCATCACCGGCGATCAGACAAGGATGGAACATTTGTTCTGTATATAGAGGCTCTCAAACAGGGGAAAGAGCGAAAAAGCACCAAGGCACAAAACGTAAGCCTTGGGTGATGGATAGAGTTAAGGCTAGAGAGAGTAGCAGGAGAGGGCCGCGGAATAAATCTGGTCACCCATAATCGAGTTTCGATTTAAAACGAGGGCTGAATGTAGGCGGAAGCAGGTTCGACGTTCAGCTTCCCCAGGAAAGATGAGCAAGGGTTTTAAGAAGGTTTAGCTGGGCTGTGACAAGTTGCCTTCAGAGAGGGAATGTGAGGTTTACAGGTTAAGACGGTCAAAGGAGAAGGCCTAGAAACCTGAACTGTATCCGTTTCGGGGGTACGGGAGCCATAGAGATACAAAGGATGATCGGAGATATAGAGGTATCTAGTGAAAGTAATGTGGTTGTGAGTTTTTGGTACTTGAAAATTTAAAACCCTTGTTGTGTGGCCCAAGTGGATGGAAACACGGTCGAACCGCTATGCTGGAGTAGAATACTGCAATATAGGTGGACAGTCGCGCCTGCACAAAGCAATAGCGAAGTCATCAACATAGAGTGATGACCAATATTGGGTGGATGAACAGAGGCCAAATCATTTATTGCAAGGAAGGAAAAAGTTGTTGGCTTAGTAGAATCACATCCATGAGGGTCACTTCAGCTTGGACGAAGTCCGGGGAAAGAACATTATTGACTCTAAACGGGAAAATGTCTGGTCAGTTTAAATAAGTTCGTAAGGAAGGATGTTGGTTAGATTGCCTCGGGGCCTAAGGGAATGGGCACTGGGCCAAAATATTATAACTCCAAGTTGGTCATATGCCTTCTCAAGGTCAAATAAGTTATGGCAATAACTGAGTGATTATTCGCAAAGGCATTACGAACATAACGTATCAAGCGTAGTTAAGGGTATATGGTTAGAACGACCTTACGAAAGCCATATTGACTAGCCGGGAGAGAAGAGACTGTTTGTGAGTCTTAAATACACATTAAACGTGAGGCTTATTTACGAGCGTTCCATCACTTTGCAAACTGCACTTGTTTGTAAGAGCGATGGAAGGCGATAGTGGGAGCACATGTCTGTAGTACCCGTTTGCGGAAAGGGAGAACAATGGCATATTTCCACAGTGGGGGAAGAACTCCTTGTGCCCAAATAAGATTGAAGAGGTGTAGAGGACTACAAGGGCTGACCGATATGTAAAAAAAATTGTTGTAAACATACGGGAAATATGAATGTCATCAGGCCCCAGCTTGACGATGATCGGCAAGCTCGAGAGCGTTGCCTCCAGTTCTCTGAAGTGTAAAGGCACATTATACTGTTCTTCTCGAGAGAAGAAAGTCCAAGGGTACTAAAATCTCTGGCACAGACTTTGAGGAAAGAAAACGAGGGCTAGATGGAGCCCTCGGGAAATACGGACAGATGTGTGCCAAGTTTCAAATGGCATCGTCGAGAGGGTTCTGCTATATCAAACCACCAGTGACCGCTATAGACTGCGACGCCGGGGTCTGGAGGAGTATTTACCACTCAATTATCCTCACTTTTTTCAGACTGCACTCATAGAAGAAGCTGAGGTGATGGTGGAAAAACATAGTCTCGCCAACAAGTGCGTTTTGCTTCTCGGATGACACGGACGAGCGATTCGCACGCTTCTGCTTAAAATCAACAAGTCTCTCAGCGGTTTATTTGCTACTGTTTACCTGCCCATGCAGCACGTTTCAAACGTACTGCACGAGCTCAGCTGGAGACCACCAAGGCAGCACTTCTGAGGAATGCCTGCCTGGAGGTTTGGGGTATAGAATGAGAGCTCGCGGTATATAAACTGATGTCGAGAAGAATGTGTAGGAGCTCTATCAATGGAGGATGAAGAAGGAACCTCACAAAAGCAAGTGAGGTGTGGAGTAAATATCCCAATTTGCCGATCAAAATTGCCAGCGAGGGCTCGGGGAAGGTGGTGAATAGGAAGGAGAAGTAAGAAGAATGATCGGAAAATGATCGCTGTCATGTAAGTGGGTAGAACAGGACCAGGTTGAAGTCTAGTGCAGTTGGAGGAGAGGAAGAGAGGACTGATAGATCGCTGTGCCACAGAGGAGTATGAGTACGAGGATTCAAATGGGTGGGAGTAGTACCGTATTAAATCATGGAGGGGGTTGAGAGGCAAGAAATAAGCCTCCAAACTGAATGCAGTGAGGCACAATGAGACATCACCCCCAGAGGAAAATCGGTGCGGCATTAAAAATCACAAGGAACAAGTGGGTTGGTGGTAAGGATGAAACAAGAAGGCAAAGTCTGGGTAAAATTGCTCGGAAGGAGAGAGATATAAAGAAATATTGTAAACCACTTATTCAAGTGGATACGGGCTGCAGTGTAATTGCCAGCGAGGTATGGACAAATAGTTGATTGACAGTACGGAATATCATTGCGTAGAAGAAGGGCACTTTCATTATAAAGGTATTGAGAAAGGATCGAGAATACAATAAATTATTGCCTGAGATATGTTGGGAATAAACGCCGAGTGTAATTGTTGGTTCTTGTAAGGCAAGCACCAACAGGGGAAAACTGGAAAGCAAACATCTGAATGCTCACCCGATTACCCCTGAGGCCGCGGAATATTCCACTGTAAATAGGCCATGATTGCGATGAAGAAAATATCTCAGGAATCTGTAGGTAAAGGCACCTACGGACTAGAGGGGTTAGAAAAAGTCAACGTTTGTGGTTGGCATTGGATGGATGTTCAAGTAGCGAAGGAACGGAGCGTTGCGAAGAATGGGTTGTGAAGATGGAGGAGATGAGGGAAGAGAAGGAACAAGGAAGTGATCAGTGTCATTGAAGGTTAGTCTCGGCAATATATTTGAAATGGCTTCAAGTGTTTCTGAATTCAAAGGATGTATGGGAAACCAATTGGAGATAGGAGGAGGAGGGTGAGTAAAGGATTGGGACAGTAATGGAGTGCTACCAAAGTAGACGGGGGAGGGAAAAGTGTTAAGGGGACTGGAGATGAAAAGTGTGGGGGGGGACAGAAGAGGTATAAACCTGGGAGGTGACAGGAAGAGGGAGAAACTTGGAGGGGACGGGGGTGGAAGGCATAGTACGAGGAGGAGGGATGAAATCTTTCCACACTTGTAATAGAGCCAGAGGGAGGGATGAACAGGTACAGAAGACTGGAAGGTAAACGTGTGGTGGTGGGTAGAAGGGAAGAAGGGGCAAAGAAGATTTGAGCAATGTGGATTTTTTGGCCTTCGAGTAGAGGGGCGATTGGTATTAGGTGTCGTACGAGGTCTTGTGTTACTGGGGCTTGTGAGGAAGGACGCGAAGATGTAGAGAAACAGATGAGTTGTAGTCGGGACGTAAGAGACCAAGGACAGCCAAAAGGATTAGATGGTGTAGTGCTATGGGAGGGGTAACAAAAGAGGAGGCTGCAGAAGATGGTGACCCCAGAAGTGGCGGGGACGTTTGGAAACTCGAGAATAAGAAACTCGGGTGGGAGTCTCCCTTGGAGGCGGAGTTGAGTAACTGCCATTAGCATATGGGAGACCTTCTGACCTTTTGAGGCAACGGAATTTCACGTTCATTTAAGTAGACCTGGCACGAGAGGGAGTGAGTACGAAGGGTGGCTTCGTTA